GTTGTACCCTTCGGGTTGACTAACGCTCCCTCCGCGTTCCAGTGGTTCATGAACGACATTTTTGCAGATCTCCTCGACGTCTATGTTATCATTTACCTGGATGATATACTAATCTACTCTGATAACATGGCAGATCACAGGAAACACGTCAAGGAGGTTCTCCGTCGGCTCCGCCAACACAAACTCTACGCGCACGCCGACAAATGCGAATTCCACGCGGACACTGTGGAATATCTCGGCTACATCCTCTCCCCGCAAGGTCTTACCATGGATAATTCGAAAGTCAAGACGATCCAAGATTGGCCGGAACCGCGGAAGATTCGCGACATACAATCCTTCCTCGGCTTTGCCAATTTCTACCGCCGCTTCATCCGGAACTACTCGGATATTGTGGTCCCTTTGACCCGTCGCACGCGCAAAGGACTGCCCTGGAATTGGGATCAGGCAGCACGCGACTCCTTCAACGCGCTCAAACAAGCGTTCACCTCGGCCCCCGTGCTTACGCATTGGGTACCGGACGCGCCACTTGTCGTGGAGACGGACGCCTCGGACTACGCGCTAGGCGCGATTCTGTCCATCTACACGTCAGACGGCGAAATCCACCCAGTCGTGTTTCACTCACGCACCTTCAGCTCTATAGAACTGAACTACGACGTTCACGACAAGGAACTCCTCGCCATTTTCGAAGCATTCCGCGTCTGGCGCCATTACCTGGAAGGGTCTGGTAAGCCAATCGACGTGGTTACTGATCATAAGAACCTAGAATACTTCTCGACCACCAAGATTCTGACCCGCCGCCAAGCGCGGTGGTCCGAGTACCTCTCACAATTTAACCTCCTCATTCGCTTCCGTCCCGGAAGGCTCGGCTCCAAACCCGACGCCCTCACGAGACGTTGGGATGTCTACCTTAGGGAGGGAGGCGACGGCTATGCTACGGTCAACCCTCAAAATTTGAAGCCTATATTCTCGAACGAACAGCTGACCGCGTCTATCCGCGCGACTTACCTCTGGGAACCCGCGCTCCGCGGTTCCATTATTATGGACACAGAGAAGTTGCACGAGGATATTATTGACGCTTATCTGCTAGACCCAGTTACCAAGGCCCGACTCGAAAATCTTGAACCACGGTGGTCGCGCTCCGAAGATAATCTACTTCGCCTCGACGGCCGCGTCTACGTCCCCGACCACGGAGATCTTCGCCTCCGCGTACTCCGTTTCAAACATGATCATATCCTCGCTGGACATTACGGGCAGAACAAGACCATTGAACTTGTGCGCCGCGAATATACGTGGCTGAAACTTCGAGAATTCATTCAACATTACTGCAAGTCTTGTACCACCTGTATGCGTAGCAAGCCCCAGCGTCACAAGCCCTACGGCATGCTACGACAACTTCCGGTTCCCGTTCGACCTTGGGACTCGATCTCTATGGATTTTATCGAGAAACTTCCCCCGTCCCTCGGGTACAACTCCATCCTCGTCGTGATGGACCGACTCTCCAAGCAAGGAATCTTCATTCCGTGCCACGACACCATCACTTCGGAAGGGCTAGCTAAGTTATTCGTTATTCATGTTTTCTCTAAACACGGAGTCCCCGCGCACGTCACGTCTGACCGCGGCTCCGAGTTCGTTTCTCGCTTCTTCCGGTCCTTAGGAAAAGGGTTGGACATGAAGCTCCACTTCACTTCAGGATATCATCCTGAAGGTGATGGCCAAACGGAGCGTACTAACCAAACCCTTGAGCAATACTTACGTGTTTATTGTAATTATCAACAGGATAACTGGGCTGACCTCTTGCCCCTCGCCGAGTTCGCATTCAACAACGCTCCTAGTGTTACCACTGGAGTATCTCCGTTCTTTGCGAACAAAGGTTATCACCCCAATCTCTCCCTTAATCCCGACCTCGACCTCGCCTCGGCCCGCGCAAGAACCTTCGTAACCGACCTCGACGAGCTCCATCAAGAGCTACGTACCGCGATGACTGAGGCGCAAGCCCGTTATCAAGGACCAGCCGATCGTCGCCGCGCACCCGCGCCGGATTTCAAGGTTGGCGAAAAGGTTTTTGTGAAGGCCAAATTCTTCCGTACCACGCGCCCCTCGCACAAACTCGCGGAGAAATTCCTCGGTCCGTTCGAAATCATTCACCAAGCAGGACCCTCTTCGTTCACTATCCGTCTCCCGGAAAATCTCCGCGGGGTCCACCCCGTATTCCACGTCTCTATGCTCGAACCCGAGACACCCAACACGATTCCAAATCGCGTACAATCCCCTCCCCCACCCATTGAAGTCGATGGTAACGACGAATTTGAAATAGCTGAAATTGTAGACTCCAAAATCGACCGTCAACGGAAAGTAAAACTTCAATACTACGTTCGATGGCTCGGCTACGAACACACTGATGAAGAATTCTCGTGGCTCTCCGCGGACGAGCTCGGGCACGCGCAGGAACTCGTCGCAGAATTCCACCTGCGCTATCCTGACAAGCCCGGACCCGCGTAATGGTCCTTCATCTCATTTTCTCTATTTTTTCCGCGTTACCGCGCACCCCACTCAACATTTCTTTCTCCCTGTGCGCACCGCGCTTGTATCACCTGTAGATTGCTCCGCCGCGCACCCGCGCATTTACCCTCCTTTCTCTTATTTTCCCCGCGCATCCGCGCATTCTCCATCTACACTTGCGACAAGCCACGCGCACCCGCGCTCACCCACCCACCCATCAGCACACCCTTATTCCCCGCTCGCTCCGCGCGCACCCGCGCCCACTACCTTACGTATACTACTCTCTCCTAAATTCTTAAGTTTCTCTCCTTTTTTTCTCTCTTCTTCTTGTGCTAGGTTCTTCTTACAAATCACACTGGGGTCACTGGCAGTTATAGATTACAAAAAAAAAAAAAAAAACAACACAAGAGAAAGAACAAAAACACAAAAAACATACAACATAGATAGTCTTTTTCTCTTCCTTCTTCTTTCGTGCCGCCTCGCACGCCGACGAGGGCCCCGCGCTTCCTCCTACTCACTATCCTCCTCATCGTCGCTCGACAGCACCTTCCCTGTCCCTTCCCAAGCCATCCCCTCCTCCTCCTCGTCCGTCGTGTCCGCTGGCTCCGCGTCCTGCACATCGTCAGTGTCGCTGGTCGACGGAGCCTTCGCGTCGTCCACCTCCATTTCTCCCTCCGCGTCCTCCGTACCTTCCGCGCTCGTCGAGCCCACCGCTTGCGGCGACTTCGTCCGTACCCCCTCCTTTCCGCGCACCCGCTCAGCCACGTCTGGTGGCGCCCCCATTGCACCGGCGATCCATGCCACCGTGTTTGCCACCTCGCCAAGCCGCTCCTCCAGGCGCGATAACGCCTGCGACCGCTCGAGGACATGCACGGACATGTCGAAGACCTGCGCGGCCAGGTCACCCAGCGACGACGCCACCGTCGGCTCCGCGGTTACAGCAGGCGGCGCTTCACGCGCCGTGCCCCGGACCCCGCCCGCACCGTTTCCGCACCGCACGTGTTGCACCTTGCACTCCCAGCAAGTGCGGGCCCCTTTCACACTACGAACAAGTCAGTAAGCCGCGCTAAGACGATAAAGTCAAGGGGACTCACAGGCGCGAACGACACTCGAGGTTGCGTTGCACGCACCCGAGGCAAGGCTCCGTCCGCAACGGCCCCTTGGGCTCTTCCCTTTCGTCGCCCTTGGCACCCTTCTTCGCTCCTTGCCAGCACCCGTGCTGCTCCCTGCCGCCGCGCTGATGGCCTCCTCAGCAGCGTCGTCCTCATTTTCATCCATTCGCGCCCGCGCCGCGATGTACTCTGAGACGGCCGCCCGCACGCGCGCTTCCTCCGCGGCTTTCCGCGCCCGCTGTTTCTCCCGCCGCCGCCGCCTCGCCTCCTTCTCCAACCGAGCATCGGCCTCTGCGACACTCTCGTCCTCGCGCCGTCGTTTCTCCTCCCGCCGCCGTCGCTCGTCGTTGTTGGTGTTATCGAGGGCGCGCTTGTTGAGAGGTGCCATTACGGCCTCGCTCCTCCGTGCTTCCGCCTTTTATACTGCTGACACACCTCGCCTCCGCGCTTCTTCCCTCACGTGCACGCAGAGGCTGACTCACCACGGACCCTCATGACACCCACACCGCATCATCACCATATCACCGCGCGTCATGAGTGTCTAGGCCTCTATGGGTCTCGGTCTTAAAGGGGAGGTACTGTTATAGGCACGTCCAAGGAACCCCTTAGGGGCTACTAGGGGCGCGCCCACGTGCGTTTCCCGACTATGGGCTCGGGCCGCGCTGACACGCGGCCACGCGGACTTCCCGGATTACGGACTAAGTACATACTCGAGCACATTGTAGTTACTACGACCGAACTCATTACTGTTTCGTGAACGCGCGGACACCGCGTGTTCCTTAGTATATAGTCCTGTATCGTACATACAGCTACCTTAGTTCGAATATTAGTTCCTTCTCCGCACTCGCATCTCGCCCCTCTAGTGGGTTCTTCCCCTGTCGCACCTCTTCGCCTCCGCCCGTACCCTCGGTACCCGCGTAGGACTCCTCCCAGAAATACAGGGCACGCAAGAGTGTGGGAGGCGCAGCCAGTAGCTGAAGCCAAGCCCGTACGTCCTCATTTCCCCCGTTTCCCCCATGCGTCTACGTGGAACCGCGCACCCGCGGGTCCGCGTATCCCGAGCCCCCCCTGCGAGTGTGGCTCTTAACAGCTGAGGAAACCAAGGAATTTGTTGTAAGCGAAATGAAATCATGAGGCCAACTCACGTCTCCGGTTCCCAGACACTGAGGGAAGTGGCGGTGTTGATACACAAGGTCGGTTTAGTTACTATTCAATGTCGCACGACGTTGAAAGGAAACACTTTCAACATTGACTACCTGCGGGTACCATTTGGGTTCCCGCCAAGATCAATGTCGAAGGAATTGCATGGGCAATTCCTATGGCATTAAAACTGACATTTTCCCATTGTTTATCAGTGTCAGGGGAATTGGGGCATCTATATGCCCGCCATTAGTGACGATAGGCTGGAGCAACCGACACCCCGTCAGCCGCTTTTGACAGAGTATTCAAACAAAGTACGTACAATCAACAAAAAGCTGTAGCGTGAGGTCTTCTAGATTTAAACCTTTCTTCGCTCGCAAGTCCGCGATGTTTGCCAGCACCCGGTTCCTATCTGGACCCAAAATTGTGTCGCAGATTGCCTTTGGTGCTTTCTCAAGTTTTCTCTTGAGAACTATCTCATATGCACTAGGATCACCATGTTCCAAGATCTCGTCCACAGTTAGGGAGAAGTAGATTCCGTCCCTGGTATCAAGCCAGTTACGAATCGTCGTTCTGTCGACTGGTACTTTGACTTGAGACGAGATGTCCATGGTTGGCATGGGGGAGCTTCCGGTCTTGGAATTTTCTTGTCTATGTTTTACGCTTGCCATGAGTATGGAATCGACGATAATGGAGCGCACCAGAGTGTACTCAGGGGAATTTACTAGCGAAACCATCACATGGCACACGAATTGGTAGTGACCTCTGTGACTACGTGATGACCAAGTCACTTGGCGAGCAGAACTACGATACTTGGGGCTGTAGCCACTGCAATGCATGGCCTGTACGGGTCCTATTGATTCATAAATAGTACTTAGCAAAATAGATAGCCATTGTGTCAGATAGAAGATGGAGATAATGTCTGCACTAAAGAAGGAGATAACAGATGGAAACTTTAGGCCCAGTATAAGTTGTAAGCTGCAGTGTAGGCAATTGCAGAAAGAATAGTGGTAAGCATTAACATATAACAGACTTCAGGCCTGTATTAAGAGCCTCGTGGAACCACGTCGAAGGGTGGAACACTACTCTATATACTGTAGTTACGCCTTTACTTATCTTATCTTTTGACCACAACATTCATATATATTCCTTGATCCTCTCATCTGTCTCCTCTGAGTGCCCAAGTCACATGTCATCAGTTAGGAGTCAGGGGAGAATGTAACTTGTTTACACGACACTCGCAGAGGGACTCGGGAATACGCGGACCTGTGGGTGCACAGTTCCACGTAGAGGTGAGGACATACGGGCTTGGCTTCAGCTACTGGCTGTGCCTCCCACACTCTTGTGTGCCCTGTATTTTCGGGAGGAGTCCTATGTGGGTACCGAGGGTACTGGCGGAGGCAAAGGGATGCAACGGAGGGAGACCCCAATAGAGGGGCGAGGGTGCGAGTGCGGAAAGGAACTAATATTCAAACTAAGGTAGCTGTATGTACAATACAGGAATATATACTAAGGAACACGTGGCGTCCACACGTTCACAAAACAGCAATGAGTTTGGTCGTAGTAACTACAGTGTGCTCGAGTATGTACTTAGTCCGTAATCCGAGAAGTCTGCGTGGCCACATGTATGCGTGGCCCGAGCCCATAGTCGGGAAACGCATGTGGGTGCGCCCCTAGTAGCCCCTAAGGGGTTCCTTGGATGCGCCTATAACAGAAGTCTGAGTAACCGCAAGTATACACGGCCCGAGCCCATAGCCAGAGCGCACGCAAATATGCCCCTAGTATCCCCTAAGGGGCCTCCTGGATGCGCCTATAACATATACAGAGTATAGGAGATTCAAAAACATTACTCAAATTGCTGAGAACTCATATTCATATACTCTTTCTCCATTCAATAACAGTGGACTCTTGTAAGTGTACAGTGCTGCTTTTTTGCCTCCAGCTACTCCAGGATTTAGATGCTATTCTACTGTATAGTAGGACAGTGATTGATCTAATTACTTGAAATACCAATTCAAACATATTCCTGGGAATAACTACTACACTTGTCATGTAAAACTAGTTATCCACTCTACAGATGTGCATATCTCTGCTAGTTAGTTATGAATCATATATTATCAGACTTATCCACATGTACTGATCAATTATGTTCATCTGAAATTGCCATTGTTGACAATTTGTTGACTCTCTTGACACTCCATTACACTACTGATATTACAGAGTTAATATGATACATGTGAGATATCATATTTAATGCCAGAGTGTAAGTCTACAATATGAGCATAAATGAAACAGTGAGTATGACTGCTGAGCAGTGTTTTGAGGGGCTCCCCTGAGGCTCCCCCTGAATATTGATTAATAATCTCCGGTGCTAACTCTCATTTAGCTTTGGAAGCTCTCCCACGTGTACAAGTGAGGAAAGGTGGATTGAATTGAATTAACATTGAATACAAAATTAGATTAAATTAAATTAAAATTAAACAAGATCCCGAGATTCCGGATGACCGGCTACCGGCTACAACAGTAGCCGTCCACTTAAGGAAGCGCCCAAAACCCCCACCCAAATAAAGAACGGTTCCTTTCATTTCATTACAGGACCCGTAATTGACATCTTGGAAAGATTCCAGGATACTAGTAGTGTTGCCGTCTTTCCACCTTTCTGATAAGTACTTTGTTGCACGATCTACTATCTTTGCTGAACACGGAAGCCAGACGTCACAACAACTTCGACATCTGGTCCACAATAGGCCGTATGAAATGAACTGGCAGTAGTGGCTGTGCTGAATTTGTGAGCACGTGCTCAACGACTCCTAGAATCTCCTAGTCAATCCCTAGAAGTGCATTACATCTAGAAGTACACGCATTCGTAGAAGGGACAGCACTTTGATAAAGAAGCTAGATAGTTTAGCAGTGTACTAGTGATATTCTCCCATGGCGACGTGGTGGCACCCCGGGATTCTGATACCAAGTGAGTGAAGGTCATCTAATACAAACAATTATACAGCTACAATGTCCTTGATAAGTGATGCGAGTGTCATGCTATGCTATGTAGTATGCTATGATTTAATTATACGAGTATTGATATGTGATACGTTGCAAATTAATGTAGATTGTGGTCCGGGGTCGTGTCGCAGCCATGATGAATGTGAGGTGAGATGGGTTGATACTATACACGGGCGAGAAAATTGGTGTTGATTCGGAGCTTAGACCACAGGATGAGGAAGGAGCCAATGATGATGGCTGATCCAGCGAAGGTTGCCATTGGGACGTACGATCCCCGACCCCTTGTCAACAGGAATCCCCCGATGGGGCCACCGAGGAGGGATCTAACAAGATATGATTGAGTCAATATTGTGCCTCTTCTAAGTCACAGTTCGCCGTGCTGAGGCATCGACTCACGGGAACGATATCACTGTATACAGAGTCCCGATCCTCGTCCCGATCTCGTTCATTTCTGATATCTGCGCGACGCAGGGCGTGATGAGGGAGATGAAGGCGCCTGAGAAGAAGCCATAAACGGCGGCGAAAAACATGAGGGCGATGATCTCGTGCGTGAAGAGCCAGATCGAGACGCACGACAGGCCGGCGAGGAACGCGGATGGGGCGAGGAGGTTGAAGCGACCTAGGGCATCAGACAGGTACGCTGGGGCGATGCGCCCGAGGACCCCACCACCGTTGAGGACTGCGAGCACGTAGAATGAGAGGTGTGTAGATATGCCGATGGCGTGCGCAAATTCCGCAAGATAGAAGAATGGAATGAATAGACCTGTCGAAATGGAGGGTGAGTGGCGGCGTGAACGTGAAAACCAAGTGGAATGGAAGTGGAAGGACTATGTTACGTACCGAGGGCGACGAAACAGCCTCCAGCCGTCAGGAGGATGAATTGCAGGTCTTTGAACCCAGCGAAGTTGAAGGCGGTGGCTTTCGGTCGGGTGGGAGGTACACGCGAGCTCACTGTCAACACGGCGACAACGCAGCACGCAGCGCCGATGAATCCAGCGATGCGGACAGCCCATCCAAAACCAACTTTATCGAAAAGTTGTCGTAACAAGATGGGGTAGACGACGCCCCCTGTCAAACAATACTTTGATGTCAGCAGGTGATACATCGCATTTATGAAAATAGATGATACGGGTACTGACCCAAACTTGATCCAGCGGCAGCGATTCCCAGGGCCGTTGCGCGAAGCTTGAGAAAATGTGTCGACACGCTCGCCATGCATGGATAGAATCTGCAATCAAAACACTGATTAATTCTGCTAAACGATGGAGTGTGATTTCACATTGCGACGTACAGCATGCCGACACCAAGTCCAAACACGATGCCTTGACAAAGAACGTACTGATAGAATTGGGTTGAGATGCTAGTCATCATCAAGCTAAAAAGGTAGAGAATCGTTCCGATGATCATCAACGCCGTGGGACCGTACGAATCATACAGCCGCCCAACTGGGCCACCCTGTCGTACGAGGAAGACGAGTTCAATAACAATCCTAGGAGACAGCACAGTAGAGACTCACAGCGAAGAAGAACATCCACAGCTGCAAAGACCCAATCCACGATATAGTCGAAGGGGGAAGATGCTGCAATTGGTGGCTCGAGTACCATGCTTGGAAGGTACCAAAAGCGTTCATAAGCCCAAAGGTCGCGAACAATGCCAGTGACGCGCCGAGGACAGACAGCCAGGCCCGTACGCCGCCATCAGTGGTTTCGCAGGGCGGGAAGAGGGTGACAGTGGGATCTGGGAGAGAGTTGGTGAGGGTGATTGTGGAGGACTGGGGGATGCTTCCGATCTTCAGGCAACCGGCGGTGTGGCACGAGAGGCTGCGCTTCGCCTCGAGGGCGTCGTCGGACGAGGTGTCAGAGGGACTTTGCTGCGCGGCAGAAGGCATCGACGGCCGCTAGGGGCCGCTATTCTGATAGTTGAGCCGTGGGGAGGTAGCGCGAGTGATGGAGAGGAAGGGAAGAAAGAAGGTTTCGTCTGGGTGTAGGTCGCACATTCTTATATATGATATTTGGGGATTCGGTGACGACATCCTATGGCATCCCGTCGCATTACCTTACCGAAGACTCCTCGAGTTTGACGGGATACGTCCAACTTCAACAACTCTTGCCTTATATAGGTTCTGCCTTTTTCCTTTTTAGCGCAGTGAGGGAGGGGAAGAAAGAAGAGCTTTCTTTCATGTACAAGGTGAAACACGCGCAACCGGAATGTCGAGTTGAATCGAGTTTGAACCTGTCTTTCCTTATTTAGCATCTCTCTTGCCTTGTTCATACAGATTCAAGTCGTACTACTCACTTGACATTGTGACGGGAGACATGAATGCACGAGTTATGAAGATCTGACATGTAATGACCATCCCAACGACCACTACTTGGATTATTACCAGTCACTGTTTGCAACAATCTCCTCCAAGTCTCCAATAGCTCTCGATTATTTCAGGGCTTGTACAAATCAAGAACAGCGGCATGGTTCTGCGACACTAGTACAACAACGGAAGGAAACAGAGGAAAGGTTGAAGTCTGACTCAGAGCATGAGGAACACCAGCCCGAATGCGACTATGCTAGCAACGGCGTTTATGTTGTACGTGATGGCGCCGTTGGCGTTCCGCGAGCTGGCTCCGTCTGTGGGTCGAGAATTGGAAGTTTCGCTTTGTATAACAATCAGTATACATGTGGTTAGGAAGAGGGCAGAAGCGGAGCATACGAGGTAGCGGAGGCGGACGATGTGGGCGTCGCGGAACCAGAAGCACTGAGAGAACTAGAAGGCTGGATGCTAAGCGGTGCGCCCTTTACACTTCGCGTTAAATGAAATTCACGATGAAATCAGAAGAATTTACTTGAGCGGCGCACACCGTGCTTTCCTCTTCTATGACGCTGTTGCTGATATCGCTAGGGCACGAGGCTCTGAGGCACTGAACCATTGAATTGACAAAACTGGTATCGGAGCATAGACACGGGACGTCGGTTTTGTCGCAATTGGTCGTGCTGATCATCTTGTGGAAGCACTGTTGAACACACGCTATATTGAAGGTTAGTCTTAGTCCGCCTGATAATTCTTGGTACTCACCAGGTCTATCTTGTGCTCTAGCGACGAGGGGTAATGCGAGGATCGCCATGCTTATGAAGTTGAATTGGGCGAGCATGTTAGCAACGGGGGGCTGAGGGAGGTAGCGCAGTGGGGGAGGGGAAGGGAGAAGAATTTTTGTTCGTGATCAGGTTGCGCGCCCTTTATATATGTTTTCGAGTAACATGGTGACGACATCATCTCCCCGACATACGCAACTGGGAGTCGTCGTCGACGTCGACCAGTCACTTGGACTCAGAGACGAAATGGATTGAGCGTCACGGATGCTATTTCCTTTACTAGCCCCCTGTCCAGATATGGCTTGTGACGCGTGACACGCCTGGCACAACCTCTACAATGCCGATCTCTGGCGCAGAATGTACCTCGTTGCGTTGGTCAACCGCCGAGTGTACGATGATAGTACACTAAACAAAATCCCGGTCATCGGAGAAGGTACTTCAAATCTGCCAAAAATCGTTATTGCTTGGGGGGACTGACGGACAGAACGCCAGCACGACGTTGCGCAGCGGAACGGATTGCTACTAATTTTTCATTCCTGCTCGCAACGTCACTCACCATGATCCCCGATAGCCTTAGCCTAAAATTGGTGGTGATAACGTCTTTCGCGCGAGCCGCAAGTTCTCCTGACGTAGCCATCGTCCGTATCTCGAAAAAGTTGCCTACTCTGAACGCGAGGTGCTGATGGATCAACGACATGAATTCTCGCGGATTTTCATGAACGAGGGGCGGCTCAAATACTTCGGACCAAGCTTCGGATACACTAGCTATCGAATGGCGGCTGCGTTCTGGACAATCGCGTCATTCAACGGCTTTCGCTCTGTCTGAGGAGACGAGCTTTACACGGCCCTTATCACTCAGGCAACTATTCACCATCTACGAGAATGAACGACCTGGCGACGCCGCCCACGGAACGGATTAATACCCCCCACTACCATAGCTTGGCAAGGCACTACTGATATGTACCTCCCCTTGAATCGTACAACATTCTTCGCCGCATCCTGATCATTTGTCGTTGTCACGCCACATAACATCACCTGTATCCATATGTGCAATGTTTCTACAACGTAGCCTGATCTCGCTTGAATGTATATAATACAATAAGTCCTTGAGTGCGTGCGTGTGCCGTGATTGCGTGACGACAAGCCGGGCGCTTGACAAGCAGAACTCAGAGTGCGGATACGATGTCAACATCGTGGATGAATTCCAGGATACTAACGTTGCCTGTGGATTTGGCATGGATGTTGATATCTGCCATCCTCAAGACTCCTCGATGGCTCTCCCCTCGCTTTCCTCATACATGTTTGCTACGAAGCCTCGAGGCATTGTTCTGGCAGCGACCGAAGTCTCTGGAAGACATGCCCTTCGACGTGATTTTTAGCTTGTCTCTCCACCTTTCTGTGAAAGACCTTTGTGCACTACGCGCAGTAAGTGCTTTATTGAACGCTCCAGTGCTTTTGTTGAACACAGAAGCTAGACGTCACGACAACTTCGGCATCTGGTACTAAACAGGTTGTTGTGGTCAATCGCGCTTCGTGACATACTGGAAATTCGGCCAATACCCCGGCTGAGCTATGCGCTGGACGATATGTCACTTGAAGAACTTCTGAAAGCAACGATTCGGTTGAACGCCCTAGATAAAAAAAACAGAGGACTGGACCCTGATGTCAAATTGATACAAATCTCAAGTATTGACGTAGGCACCGCCCCAGTCTTCGTCCCAGGAGGTCGCCATTTTGTGACCGTACAGGAGCCCGATGATTCGTTCTTCATACATGACTTTGGGACGAGTGATCTTTCTGCCGGACGACCGTTTCTCCCTCGTTTCGAACATCAAGTCGTCTATTGGCGCATGGTGCCAGTTGGTGCGACTGAGTTCAATATAGCGGTTGCGACGCTGGACTTGGAAAGCTATGCTGTAGGTCCTACTGGGTACCCACTGTAATTATCATCCTTCTCACCGTTGAATCGCGGCACTGAGTCTCGCCTTGAAGGGACCGATCTTATGTCCACGTCTTTCACTACGATATTATAACGAACATCTGGGAAGAGATCGACTACTTTTATATCGACGCGAGATTCCAAGCGTTTTATTTCGATTCGGAGCTCCTCGCTATGATGTGGTGCCACGTGGCGAGTAGTCATTCAGCCTACATTCGCGACTATGCTCGACACAAAGGTACTCCTGTCTTGGGGCTGACAGGGATTGATGTAAGTCCACTGTCCAGCCAGTCTTCCCACCACACTCAATTGCTTGGGTAGCTCACTTGTTCAGCGGGCTCGATCGTCATCCTTGACCAATGTCACTTTGTAGTGGCCGCCGACGAGGTTGCTCACCTCTTTCGCTTACCGGCCTTCTTCCCCATCTCCGGAACACATGTTGCCGGAGCCACCGTCGACTATTCGCCCATTTGGCGGAGTAATACCACACCGAAATCTATAGCGTTCCGAGCTCCCTTCGTCGCAGACATGCGGCCTCTCAGCGGTAAATCCCCAACCTCAATACCGCCAACCAAGTGGATGGTATGGAGCGGAGATTATTGGCACGTCATCACTCAAGGCACTGCACCCTTCGAGTATAATATCGAACGTCGTCGGTGTTTACCAGGACGTCCAGATTACACCGTATTGGGTCACTGTTTCGGAAAGTTTTCTGCACTACACGGCACGTCGGACGAGGAACTATTTATACTTCCTCTTCCTATCAATCATCATCCGTGTAGTCGAGGGTTTGCGCGCCTCAATGCACCGCCTGATCCAGATGACATGCCCTCGACGGAGGTCCCTTTTCATCTTGACGACGAGGAGGGTATGGTGGTGCTCTCTTATGATGAGGAATCTGGGCATGTCTATATAGGCTTAGGAGATCGGGAGTTGCCCGGTTGGCAGCGAATAGTAGCTGCAACCCTCAGTTGATTGTGTATGCCCATTGTATTCCAATACATGGATCTGGTGGTTCCCTACTGAGCTTGTTGCGACCAAAATCCATCAAAGTCGCCACCAGCGAACCAGATCTGAGGGTTTATTCAGCCTGTGATTCAACTCATTGACGTGGAGTAATCCTTACCCAATCTTCGAGAAGTGTAAGAACAAACCCGTCACCGTCGTCCTTGGAGGAAACTAGATCAGAAATGTAGTTCATCTTCTCCGTTGGATCATAGAGGCAGAACCGCCAGGTAGAACCGTCTGTCATAATATATCTCTGTGATCTCCTAGTTGTATACAGTAACGCCGACGTCAAGCAATATCCCTCGCTTAAAATATGGTACCCACTTGAGATGTTGGCTGAGAGAAACAGCTTGCGCTGTGGCTTCCCAGATATGTTCAGCATTGTGGACTAGATGTTCTGGCTTCACTTCCACCGAGCATAGTTTCCCGTTGCTCAACCGAATCACATCCTCCCATTCACTGATATCATGATTGTTGAGACTTCGCCGTGCGTCGGTCAGAAACGTGATGTAGTCAATAACCCCATGAAATTTATACAGCACCTCGCCATCGGCTTCGTGTTCGGACTTGGGGACTGCTTCCTCTGGCGAGAACTTTGGTAACGGAAGTTCTACCCCCTGTTTCGAAAACCGATGAAAACGGGGGCTTTGAGGGTCATATAGCGCTTCAAGAGTGTTGGCAATCAGCAGCGACGCTAGAGCTTCTTTCTAGTACGCCCAACCAACGATCAATAAATTACTAATTGAGGTGTACCTTGCAAGTCCCCCAGTGCTGTAATACTTCTTGTCCTTGTAAGAGCTACAATTCGGACGAGTTTCTAGCAGCTACTACCAGCCTACCTGATAGTGACTATCTTCAAGAATTCTGAAGTGTCGTCCTTCATCCCTTCGTATCCAGCCCGGTGCTGAGCGCTGAGTCTTGGTTGTCTATGATCCTCAATTTAGGTCTATTACCCCGGCGGCGAAGTTGTGCATCAGAGTCCCATCTAAACCTGTGTTCTTCGCGCGGCACGGGGAACCCACTTTCGAAACCTGCTGTGGTGGGTGCATATTTTCGTATCGATGTCCCTCTTGCATCACTTGGGGGAGGCCTCACGCGCACACGCACGAGTCACGATGGCCACAATGCCCCTGGCCGCAAACTTCCTTGCTGGAGAGATAGTAAACAGATAGTTTCTTCGCCAGAGACTACGCCGACGACATGCGGGATATAGTTATTTCTGTGCACGATACCTCATTCTCTACGTCGATCTCGATATACAGCCCCAGAACCCAGTCTGTCGCACTCTGCTTCCTCTGCAAATCGGGCAAGTCCATTGAATTACATAGATGAATAGAAGCAGAAAACACAACTGGTTATTGAAACTGTCCACAAATATATCATACGGAATAGCTCACAGATGCCATGTAAAGTAATACAAAGATAGATGTTCTATAAGAGTGATCTATTCACCAGCGAATAACCGAATGACCATGTAAACAGTCGAGCCAACAAAGCGAACAACTGTGATATGGGGTCAGTGGCCTTCAATATCAAGGGAATTTGACGGTACTCACAAGCTAGACCAGCAACAGAGTAGAGGAGGAATGCCATATACCCCTTGACACCAGCATTGTTACTGTCCTTATTAGTCGTAGTCCTGCATGCGAGGATAAGTATGGGTGATATGGGTAATGGTGGGGAAACTTACACAATAATTGCGGCAAGAAGTCCCTATTATTTGATGACTTAGGTAAAGAAACGAAGAACTTTTTACAACGACTTACATTGCTCAGTGTCCAAGCAAGCAACACACTGCAAGTAACGGTCAGGAGCCGACAAGAATGACGTCTAGAACCGAAACGTACTTTGTCCTGAAGGTTCGGTAGTAATCTTCTTGTTGTGTTGCAGCATCCGGCTTGGACTCGACTTTAGGCGGCTTCGAAGATAGCAATTGGATGGCATCTTCGTATGCAGCGTTGATGTCGGTTTCTGCCGTGGGAACGTTCACCTCGACTTCATTCTTGTTCTTTCCTGTAGTGACGACACCCAGGTCCGTCGAGGGTTTATTGTCTCCCTTGGTACCCCATGAGACATCGTGGACGTTTGCGAACTGGAAGCAGGCGATGTCAAATGGTGCATCGCTCGTGGGCGAAGGAAGTACTCACAGCGTAGACGTTGAGAACGGCGATATATGACGGGGCCATCAGTAGATATTGGATGAAAGACGTGATCATATGCCACGGCTCAAACTAAAAGGTCGCAAGGTCAGAGTAAACTTCCTTGAATATATAAACCACGTACGAATATCAACGACGCAACGAGATACAATCCATACGTCGCGGCTAACGACAGAATGATATTCCGAAAGATGATGTTCGAGAATAGGTCATCGACTTGCAGACCGTCCGGATCCTCCTTGGCCAAGTTCTGTATACTCTTGATCGCTAGTAGGAACGCCGCAGTCTATCCGACCCACATACTCTCAGCATATGAACAGAGGAAGTCGGGACAATGTTCACTCACTGTCATATAAATAGTGATAACACCGAAGCCGACGAAGGCTGCAGTGTATCCCCACTTACTCCCCTGCGGTCGATTACCCAGCGAGAGGAGGAAGCACAGGATGAGGAGACCGAGGTAGAAGTAGTTCAGTATGATGTTAGCGACGTTGATCCCCTTCAGGTTGAAATCAGCCTGCTCCAAAGATGTAGACAAGATAACGAATGCGATATAGTAGTTGGCCTGCACAACGTATAGGCATTAGGACAAAGCGCATGGACATCGGATGGGGAGGAAAGAGCGCACCAAAGCGAACCAACTGAAGATCAAGTTGAAAAGCTGGTAGAACATCTCGACGTGTATCCAGAATTTCCGGAGGAAGCTGTGTGCCGAGCGATAGATATAATAGAAGTGCCAGGTGGAGTGGACCGCGGCGAAGAACGAGCCGTTCAGCCAACGACGTCGTTGTGAGATCAGTTCCGGTACCTATTGCACAGTGGATGTTATGAGGCAAGTGGAAGAAAGTAGGCGTGAAAGTCTCACTTGATCGGGTACATCCGTTACTGCATACGCCGATTTGACATAGTGGAGAATCCACGAACCGCCGCGCTTTGATACCAACTCCCAGCAGAGGATCTACGTCAATCGTGTTAGCAACGACATTGCTGAAGGGTGGTATAGCTGATGGCACTTACACGATCCTCAGCAAGGTACATATTTGCTGTGAAGATGTCGGCACCAGCACCGTGCTGTTAGATGCCTGGTCAGTCTGACGGTCAAATAGGCACGGATGACAACGCACCATCTTCTCGCCCAAGAAGTATTTCTGCAGTGGCCCCTCCCCCACGGAGTCGTTCTGCAAAGCAATGTACCGGTAGGCGCTGAAAGCACCGGGGAGCACAGTGATATAGCCAAAAACCGATTCCCTGTAAATGTCGCCTTCAGCGCTCCGCATTCAGAACGGAGTTAAGGGTTGAACGAACAGAGGTTTATCGAGGATGTTGCTCATCTTGTATTCGAAGTTCTGCGCAGCGACTACAAGAATGAGTACAGGGCTGACCACGGTCGAGAACACGAAGCATACCTAGAGGGTTGAGGAGGTTCTGCCCGTATTTACCCTTCAGGGCGACGATCTCTCCACAAGCACCGCCGACATTCGAGTTGATGTCGAACGCCTTCCACAAATGGTAGATACTCGTTGGTCCAGGCATGGTACCCTTTCAAACTGCGTCAGCAGAGACCCGGATGTCAGAGGACTCGGCAAGACTTACAACATCCAGCAGCACGCAGACGTTGGGTTGCAGGATAGGTCCAAAGGCATTGAAGAACCACCGATGCGAGTTGATTTTCTTCTGGTTCACCTCCTTCAGGCAGAACAAGATCTGCACGGGGATAATGCCCTTTTCCGCGCCTTCGATCTTGAGTGAGGGGTTTACAGAGACTACAACAGTGCTTAGCAAATGACCGAGGGGAGGATCCGAGCGTACATACTTTGGGTTGTATACTCGTATATGTGGGCGGTGACTGCTTTGTTGTTGACGGCGTTCTGCAAGAGGGTGAGCTTTCATGACGAGTCCCAGCGATTAGAGCTCACCTTGGCTATGCCCTCCTGGTAACAACCCATAGCCGCGATCACACTGAGTGTCCTACTGTTGATCTTGGATCGTCCATCGCTCACAATACATACTACAACCTTCTGCCATCCACCTTCCCCCCACGTCTTACTCCTGTCACGTTTGCACAAGTGCATCACGTTCTTGATGACACCATGCATGGTCCTACAGAACAATTCCTCGTCCTCGTTGTACATGGTCATCACAATGAACAACTCCGTCCGCCGCGGTGGATCGTAGTGCACCTGTCTCAGCGTGAAACCCGAGTCCTTGAAGTCGTTGGGATCGCAAGTAGCCGCCGAATATCTCATATGAGTGAACTCCCTCTCCGTCCGCTTGGGACACATGTTTAGGAGCTTAGTGGGCACGGCGGAATCGAGGACGAAATTTCCGTGAAAGAGCTCGACTTTCTTGATCGTCTTGTACCGACGAGGTACTCGCTGTGGAATGCGCCCATAGCGAATATTGTTTTCTGAACGATCGTCCGAAGTGAGAGGGTCATCCCCATAAGCACCGGGGACAGGCATGTTGACCCCAGAGGTGTAACTTGGATCCCGTCTGAGCAGGGGTATGTCACCAGTATCCAATCCATCCTCGTGATCGTCGTGAAGCTCATACCGCTGCGGCTGCGCAGGGGGGAGGGCAGGCGGTGGTGGTGGGGGGTGACTGAACGGAGCATACTCAGGTTGCATGGATGGAGGCGGCGAATGAGGGTGAGATGGTGCGCCGTACGGATTCGGAGGAGGAGAGTGAGGATGAAGAGGGGCGCCGTAAGGATCCAATTGCGGAGGCGGTGAATGGTAACCTCCTGGCTGCGTCGGGGGCGGGGTCGCGTAGCTCGGGTTCGCAAACGGGTCGGGAAGCGAGTACGGTGCATCGAACCGCTCATACTGGTTCGGCGTCGTCGTCAACGTATATGGACTCGGATTTGGGTTATACCCATCATTGTAACGCCCTCGCTGGGCCTCGTCCGCCTATTCAGGAAAGACCAACAACGCAGTGAGTTTCCGGCTTGATGAACCAAAAAGCCACTCACGTCTGGGGGATATCTCGACATCTCTGCTCGTCAAGGTTGAAAGTGCTAAGGACCCCTCAACTTCTGCTTTTTCAGTTGTAGGTCCCGCGGTGGCTGTTCTGAGGAAAGGAAAAGGAAAGGCTGTGATGTATTGATGGCGCTTAGGCGCCGGACTTCTGTGCCTTCCCGCCCGCAATCAACTCGTTGTCACCACTCCTGAGCAGCCCTGATTCCTGAACTTTCAATATGTGACCAAGTTCCCCGTTGCGCGGACTCAATGTATACCTCATAACATGCCACAAAACGCATACGAATTACCTTCGAAATCCACCAGCGAAAAATTCACCGTTCAGTGTTCGCTCAGCACTGCGGCGCAGCGCATGAAACGATCACCACGGCCATGTTGGCGAGGGAACTTGACGATAATACATAAACAAGATCAGGTCGGTTGAGCTCTAAGATCTCAGGACTCAGGCATCCATGGACGCTGACAGTCACTCCATGACATTGCAAGAAATTAGGTCGGCGGGCGCTGCGCCGTAGCCCAAACCTCCATGTTTCATCGGAAGGACGCGTCCAGCCTCAGCTTGACGATCCATAGCAACTCCAACGCTCTTTTCTTGGTAGACTCGCCCACAAGGACAAGGATGGAGGACTTGAAGCGTTCCCCCCGCGACCTCGGAATGCTTCGGACTAACGCTGCTCGCCCTCGAAACAGTTGATAGCTATATAGCAATGTACGCATTGTCCATCATCGTCACGCATCCATTGAGGTATGTATCTTCAACTTTCTCGAATAATTGCCATCTATATGTCTTCGAAAGGGCTCTGAATTTCGAAAATCACTCGAGAGTGCGGTCCATGGGTGGATTTGCGAGGTCGTCTCAGTATCTGGGCAGGATTGCTTTCATCTTGGGCACCTCTATATCACGATCGGTGAAATTACGTGCCAATGTGCCACCCGAGCGGGCCACACTAACTTCGCTGGTAGGTATGCTACTATCCCGTCATTGTCCTCCGTGTATACCGGCTTCAGGACTTGACACTGAATATCTGTGGCCGGAGGACAACGGAGCTGCGCGTTCATTTATGGAGAGAAGCGTTGAAGGGTTGAAGTGTAGCCGTAGGATAGCACACAAACGGCCCCCAGAGCTCTTCAAGTCCGAGTCAATTATCTCCGTATTTCAGACATTTCGTCCCTTCAAGCGGGATCGAGCCTTCATCGACACTAATCGGGGTTACCGCGGCTATCTGAGCGCTCGCTTTGCCAATCATCAACGTCTGGGGATAAGCACCGCCTGACCCCAACGTCCAAGGGCGCTATGCCCTGGAAGTCCTTGACAATGACGGGCGAACGACGGGACGGCCCCATGACCAGAAAGCTATACCCATTATCTATACAGCTCACCGAGTCAGACTGCTTGTGACCGACGGCTGTTAAGCTTCCCAAGAAACAAGAAACTGGAAATGGAAGAAGGGAAGACACGTGTGTCGCAACCCGCTCTGTGAGCCGCAGCTACTTAGCAAGGGTCAGTACATTCAACTTCTACGATCTAAATATCCGAATACCTGAATAGTGCACTCAAGGTCCTTCCACATCGGGCCCTAGGATGTCGGCCTTGTTGTGCACGGAACGATTGTGTACCGCCACCGCTCCTGCAGCGACCTTCGAAGATCCAAGGGACGCGGCTAAGGAGGTGGCATAGGCACTCACCACTTGTTCTGGTTCACCATCAGCGGGATGGCCACGGCATCAAATGATATCTAGCGGAACCATCAGGAGACTTCCCACTGTGGTGCAGTTAATCATCCACTGCATTGGCATTAAGCACAAGGTGCCGAGGTTCTGACACGATCCCACGCGCAACTTGGGTACTGTTCGTCGCCATCAATTCGCTGATACAGATACGGCACAGCAATTGTTATTGGAATTGCGGCGGGAGCCTATACTCGGAGTCACCCCCAAGTTCCTTCCCATGCCTCCGTCTAGCTCTAGCTTGTTAGGGACCACAGCCCGGGCTCAACGGACCACACGTCTCCCCTAGGGCAGTGATATACTCGGAAACCCAAGTCAATCATTCACATTATTGACTCAAAATAATGATGGTCTCTCCGTGGAAGTGTGGTATGTGTCTCCTAGCTTAAATATCTGCCAGTGGACTGACACTTCCGGTTGTCCTCCCCTTAAAGCTCCTCCGCTACCTCGACCTCGTCGTTTCCCTACATTCCCTTGCCTCAAACGGGCCCCTAGCGGCCGTAGATGCCTTCTGCCGCGCAGCAAAGTCCCTCTGACACCTCGTCCGACGACGCCCTCGAGGCGAAGCGCAGCCTCTCGTGCCACACCGCCGGTTGCCTGAAGATCGGAAGCATCCCCCAGTCCTCCACAATCACCCTCACCAACTCTCTCCCAGATCCCACTGTCACCCTCTTCCCGCCCTGCGAAACCACCGATGGCGGTGTCCGGGCCTGGCTGTCTGTCCTTGGCGCGTCACTGGCATTGTTCGCGACCTTTGGGCTTATGAACGCTTTTGGTACCTTCCAAGCATGGTACTCGAGCCACCAATTGCAGCATCTTCCCCCTTCGACTATATCGTGGATTGGGTCTTTGCAGCTGTGGATGTTCTTCTTCGCTGTGAGTCTCTACTGTGCTGTCTCCTAGGATTGTTATTGAACTCGTCTTCCTCGTACGACAGGGTGGCCCAGTTGGGCGGCTGTATGATTCGTACGGTCCCACGGCGTTGATGATCATCGGAACGATTCTCTACCTTTTTAGCTTGATGATGACTAGCATCTCAACCCAATTCTATCAGTACGTTCTTTGTCAAGGCATCGTGTTTGGACTTGGTGTCGGCATGCTGTACGTCGCAATGTGAAATCACACTCCATCGTTCAGCAGAATTAATCAGTGTTTTGATTGCAGATTCTATCCATGCATGGCGAGCGTGTCGACACATTTTCTCAAGCTTCGCGCAACGGCCCTGGGAATCGCTGCCGCTGGATCAAGTTTGGGTCAGTACCCGTATCATCTATTTTCATAAATGCGATGTATCACCTGCTGACATCAAAGTATTGTTTGACAGGGGGCGTCGTCTACCCCATCTTGTTACGACAACTTTTCGATAAAGTTGGTTTCGGATGGGCTGTCCGCATCGCTGGATTCATCGGCGCTGCGTGCTGCGTTGTCGCCGTGTTGACAGTGAACTCGCGTGTACCTCCCACCCGACCGAAAGCCACCGCCTTCAACTTCGCTGGGTTCAACGACCTGCAATTCATCCTCCTGACGGCTGGAGGCTGTTTCGTCGCCCTCGGTACGTAACATAGTCCTTCCACTTCCATTCCACTTGGTTTTCACGTTCACGCCGCCGCTCACCCTCCATTTCGACAGGTCTATTCATTCCATTCTTCTATCTTGCGGAATTTGCGCACGCCATCGGCATATCTACACACCTCTCATTCTACGTGCTCGCAGTCCTCAACGGTGGTGGGGTCCTCGGGCGCATCGCCCCAGCGTACCTGTCTGATGCCCTAGGTCGCTTCAACCTCCTCGCCCCATCCGCGTTCCTCGCCGGCCTGTCGTGCGTCTCGATCTGGCTCTTCACGCACGAGATCATCGCCCTCATGTTTTTCGCCGCCGTGTATGGCTTCTTCTCAGGCGCCTTCATCTCCCTCATCACGCCCTGCGTCGCGCAGATATCAGAAATGAACGAGATCGGGACGAGGATCGGGACTCTGTATACAGTGATATCGTTCCCGTGAGTCGATGCCTCAGCACGGCGAACTGTGACTTAGAAGAGGCACAATATTGACTCAATCATATCTTGTTAGATCCCTCCTCGGTGGCCCCATCGGGGGATTCCTGTTGACAAGGGGTCGGGGATCGTACGTCCCAATGGCAACCTTCGCTGGATCAGCCATCATCATTGGCTCCTTCCTCATCCTGTGGTCTAAGCTCCGAATCAACACCAATTTTCTCGCCCGTGTATAGTATCAACCCATCTCACCTCACATTCATCATGGCTGCGACACGACCCCGGACCACAATCTACATTAATTTGCAACGTATCACATATCAATACTCGTATAATTAAATCATAGCATACTACATAGCATAGCATGACACTCGCATCACTTATCAAGGACATTGTAGCTGTATAATTGTTTGTATTAGATGACCTTCACTCACTTGGTATCAGAATCTCGGGGTGCCACCACGTCGCCATATGAGAATATCACTAGTACACTGCTAAACTATCTAGCATTCTTCATCAAAGTGCTACCCCCTCTCACGAATGCGTGTCCTTCTAGATGTAATGCACTTCTAGGGATTGACTAGGAGATTCTAGGAGTCGTTGAGCACGTGCTCACAAATTCAGCACAGCCACTACTGCCAGTTGCCCGCTTCATTTCATACTTCCAACGCTAATTTGCGGTTTCGTGATGGACTTCGTGTAAATGACTTCTCTCACAAGGAATCTCCCGTGGTTTGTAAGGGATCTTGGCGTAGGAGCCATCGGAGAGGTGCGTTTTCTCGGTGTTCTGCCTCCCCCCTTCCTTGTACGGCGCTCATTTCACTGGCTTTGCCTCGTAGACATGTTACGTTTCTCTTGTAGAGAATCTGAATGTGGGCGACGTGCCATGCCTCAAACTCTCGCTTTCTAAGGGGCTTGGGATTGGCATTGTGGTTGGTGGTTCAATCATGAAAGTACCGCAGTTACTTCTAAGTGAGTACTTGAAATGTTACACGGGGTTATGAACTCAAGGGAGACTAGTTGTAAAGGCACGCTCTGCTCGTGGCCTCTCGCTGGAGTCATACGTCCTCGAAACACTGGCGTACGCCATTCAGACTACTTATTCGTTTAGAAACAGATTTCCCTTCTCCACGTACGGCGAGAATTTCTTCTTGACCATCCAGAACATCATCATCACTTTCCTCGTCATTTTGTATGCCTCACACAAAACTCTTTCCCAGTCTCCTTCCTCGCGGCTCGCAACAGCTGCGCTGGCGACAGCTGTCACTGCCACGGTCTTGATCACGGTCCCCATATCTTTCCTCGCCTATCTCCAGATATCAACTCTCCCCATCTCAGTAGCGTCGAAGCTGCCCCAAATCCGACAGAACATGCGCTCACAGTCGACGGGCCAGCTCTCGGCGTTTGCGGTGCTCTCTCAAATAGCAGGATGCCTCGCGAGACTGTTCACCACGGCGACAGAGGTTGGGGACCCTCTTGTGGCTGCTGGGTTCGCGTTGGCATTGGCGCTGAATTGTATCCTTGGATTTCAAATGTGGATGTACTGGGGGAAGGATCCGTTTGATGGGGATATGATTGAGAAAGGTCTTAGCCGGAACTCTTTACCTGTATCACTGCCGTCGAGGAAATCTGATTGATTGTGCTTACCAGTCGCCACTCAATCTCGTGACCGAAGACAGAACTAAATCAAGCATAATCTACGACCCCAAACTACGACCCTCAGGCTGAAGCACTTAGCACCAGAACAATGAACTTGGGGAAGACCAGATAATCACAGGAGTCTACGTCACAAGAGCGCTTCGTAGTTCAAACAACGCGTTACGACCCTTGGTACAGGGATGGTACAATGGATGCTGTGACCGGGGCGGCTTGCTTTGCAGATGTTGATGTTTCCTTTCTAGGTCAGTACGATATGATTGGACCTCGTCGTGGACGAAGTGAAAATGAGTTGGGCCTTGTGGCCTGTAGCCAGAGGTATAAAAATGTCGGAAAGAGAGGCTGATCTGCACTACTTCTCATCCACCGCGCCCCCGCCGCGAAGACGCTGAACACTTGCAAAAAATATCGAGAAGATCGACGATATGGTCTTCAGCAAATTCGTTTCTGCGGAATCTTCGGATCCAGCGGCACTCGCATTGCGCCACACCGACGCCGCATCCGTCTTACAATACATCGCGTTCGGCGTCAGACAATGGAATCCAAGTCTCAACATGAAGGCGTACATCGCCTCCCCGTGCGCCATGCTGGAGTTTTTGATCCAGCAATTTGACGAGGTACCCGGGACACTTCTTCATCGCGATCTAGTGATGTGCCTTCGAGATATCCGAGGTCCCCCGGCCTCCAGCTATTATCACCCTCTGGATGCAACGCACACGTTGACTCACTGGTCTGTCGGCATCGTCACCAGGCTCAGATTGATGTCCTTCCCAGCCATACCCGGTCGATTGTCTCCTCAAGCATACCGTGCCTTCATCTGCGCCATGACTGTGTTGCTGGCGATTCATTACGACCCTCGTGGACCTACGTGGGTTCACCTCGCCATGAACAATGGCTTAATCAGGGTATTGGCTAGCGCTCGCAACATCTGGCCTAATCAATGCCCAGAGATATCGGCGACCCTCCTCAGAAAGGTTCTCTTGCCTTACCTTTTCTATTACCGCGTCTGCGTCGCCGTTAATGCTCAGCTCGATTGGCTACCAAATTTGGACCTCGATCATTTGGTCAGTATAGACGCATCATGGGCGCAGCTGGTACAAATCGCCCGGCATCGCGGGAAGTATACCAGTGTTCAACAAATGAGTCCTAGATGGTACTGTCGATGGGTCCGCTTGCTGTTGTTCTAAACCCCGTATTTGCGTTCTGATTTTCAACGGACAGTGTATGACAGATTCAAGGCTTGTCAACTACGTCTGTGGGGGGTGTCGAGATGTCTACTACTGCAGCCAACAATGCCAATCAAGTGACTGGGATGGCCATGGTCCTAATAAACACCCGCTCCGATTCGATTTTCCTCCCCACCACGAGGTGTGTAGAGAAGGAGAATTCTTAATCCCTTACGAAGGTAGGTACCTTTCTCGTGGTCCTGCAGCCGCCTTGAGTAACCCTTGATCCCGCAGTTGAACCTTTCGCCTCGCTACGTCTCGCGCCCATAGACACTAGGTATATCAAGTCCTTTGTCCGAGAGACAATCCTTCGCCACTGGAAAGCCATCGTCGAGCCGCTCAAGAAATATCAACCTTCAATCCCATCGTTGAGAGTTGATCTGACGGGTCTCGTTACGACCGTAGCCCTCACTGAGCCCAGCCCCGAAGCCACCCGCCGCCTGAACGGAGAAAGAGAGTTTCGCATCGACATCGTCTTTCCTCGGCCGGGTGGTCGGGAACCAGCCGTACTTAACGCGGTGATCATTTATCCCGAGCCCGACCCAAAGGAGGAGTACGTTCCTTGGCTGGAAGAACATCTAGAATCGTTGAAAATGCTCCAAGGTGTGGACTTTGACCCAATGCTTACGCGTTAACCCGCACAAGAGACAACGTCCTTTAACCATTTCATTTGTATTCTTTCATGTACTTCTATATATACGGGCCTGGAATCGGCTCACGCAGTATCATAATATTTTCCGAACGTTGATTATGATGCATATTAAGGATAGTCTGACGGAACGGAAAGCAAGGACGGAATATGCATGTGCTAAGAGCGTAATGTAAAGCGAAAAGAACGTATGGTTATCGATACCGATACAAATGGAAGGAAAGATGATATCGCGGGGGGTTGGTCTATCAGAAAGTCTCCTCTTCATCGACGGCTGCAGGTTCGGGTACTTCGAAGCCTTCCTGGTAATTGTAGGGCAAGTCAGACTCTAAATAGCTTCATGAGGCGATTCGGAACCCACTTCAGTAGAGTATAGGATTTTTTGTATTTCTCTGAGTGTATTGTCGTCCTTTCCTTCGGCCTCCAGCGTCTCTAGTTGTTGTTGAGCGAGGATCTCGATATCTCTCAGCTTTCACCCCGATCGCTTTGTTCAGTATCTCGGTTAGACGGGGGAGGTTAATTCACATTACCTTCTCAAAGTAGAAGTCCCGTTCTTTCTCAAGACCTTCGAGGTGGGTAGACATCTCTTGTACTTGAGCGCGAAGTTGTTGGACGACTTCCGGTTGAGCACTTCCGGCACGTCCGCCAACGGGTGTTCGGCCGCCTGCTCGTGCTATCCGCGTAAAATCAGCATCTAACGCGTAACATACTTATATGAAGAGGGCCCGGACGTACCTCCAGCAGAAAGACCGGTGCGAGATGTCGAAGGGCCGAGAGGTGCAATGGTGGCGGGTGGATCGGCGGGGGCACCTTTCCGCCTTGCAACAGGATCGTAGCCTTGTCCCCCATAGTTGGCATCCCAAAACCGCTTGACCCATTGCAAGAACTCGAGATTATCCCTGAATAACGCCATCAGAGCGCTATCGCTTCAGAAGAGCAAGACACGTACTGCATCTTGCACTTGACCAATCTCTCTACCGGGATAGGCTGTATATTGCATAGATTTAATTAATACCGTTCAGTGAAGTTGACTTCGAATAAGACGCGCCTTGTCAATTTTCTTGGCCTTGAACACGTTCTGCATGACCTTGAAATTGGTGAGGAACTCGTATTCATGTTTCGCGTTGAACTTGACGCGGTTCATGGGAAGATCGCCTGTAGAATCGCGTGTCGTAGTCGTCCGAGGTCGTCGCGTAGGTAGAAAGAAGAAATCCTTCAGCTTGTGCCCTGTGGTGCGATTCACGACGCAGTCGACGTACCGTAGATAGAGTCCAAGACCTGACAGTAAGCAGCACCCGAGCCACACTGCTCGACTTTCGTGTAATTGATCTGAAGGAGATCATTGATCCAGGCGAGGAGTTCGTTTCGGGATGCCATTCTTTGAAGCGGAAAAAAATAGAGAACAGACGGTGCAGCGCGTAAAAGGTTAGGTGAAAGAACCTGAAGGCGAGATGATCGATGTGCTCAGGGAGGGCGCTAAAGCAAATATAGATCCCGGGCGTCTCTTGGCGCCGACCATCTCTTGGAAGTTGGAAAACGCGGCCGAATTTTGCAAGCACAATTTTGCAGGTGTGATGCAGGTATTGAAACAAAAACAGAGACCACCAAGTGGACGCAACATAGATGCAAAAACTGCAAGACCTTACCGCTTTCGAACGGAGTAGACCATCTTGAAAGCGAGTCCGTCACATAAACGTTTTATACATAAGACCTAATACTGCAGAAGGCACCATGCTCCTGATCGATATCACGACTACCAGATGTCGTTCTGTGATTCTCTGCACTATGGGCTTCACAGATCTGAAGACGGTAAACATGAGCGTCATGTTATGAAAGGGGGTGCGCAGACTCTCCCGATTTACCAACATCAACGGCACGTTCTGCCTCTTTCCACCATGCATCCAGTCGCCAGCACGTGTATACACTCGATCATGAACATTGCTGTTGTACATCCGTGCGCTGATGGAGCCTGGTATGTCGATATCGACGACGAGCATTGTTTTGACAACTTCAAGCACCTTGTGGCCAACGAGCTTGGCTACTTTACGATGCGAATAGCATTGCAAGTACTTTATTTTGGTTGTCGACAGGGTGCTGTAGTTGAAGTTCTTATCCTGAAGGATCGCTATGGAACTGAGTCGGGTGAACCTGTAGGAGGAAGGCACAACGCACGAGGGATGATCGTAACCAGAGGTATTGAAGATTTGGGAAATGAGATATGAATGGGATATGTTATCGAACGGGAAGTTGATCAAGGAGCAAGCTGCAATCGAAGCGAAGGAAGTAGCCGTTTGCTGCAGTGCCCTGATTCGATCCACGGACATATCCGTCGGGGGGATGTAGTCGATGCTAAGACAGAAGAGGGAAGGGATAGGATTTTTGAAGGGTGCCATCTCCCATACGGGTGTCGCGAGGTAGAGAAGGCGCGGAAGTGCGCCTGTCGGAAGCTGAACGTCCTGAGACGGTCGTGGTTTCTTCGAAGAGTATACGTCGAGCTAATGTAGGACGAACGTACAGGAATTGTCGAAATTCGTCTGAGCTGAGGCGGCACTCCGCGAGCCTTGGTTGCGTCAGAGGTGCGCTAGATGAGAGTGATTGAAGGATTCGAGCATCGACGAGGGTATCCTTCAGCAACATGAATGTGGCGTGCATTGGCGCGGAAGGGGATTGCACGTCCAATAAGATCGTTGATATTTTAATGGGGAATAGGATTGAAGGAATGCTCTTGCACTACGAAAGCAAAGGACGTGGTAAACTGTAAGCCTGGGTTGTGCTGGGTGTTACGAAGCAGAGATTCCAGCTTCTGGATGATGTCTTCTTGAAATACCACCTTAAAGAAAGATATATCTCGGTATATTTTGCGCAAAGCGAGTGAGTTCCAATGTCGAGATACAAGGAGAAGATGGTGTAATGTCCTGGAACCATCGTTCTTGTCTACATCAAATCCTTCGGAGAATTTCGGGAGGTAGTTCAGACATTGGGATCGCCGCTAGGTAATTAGTTCATCAATCAGTACTGGGCTATCACAGTGTAGGCTCGAAGACCAGCCTGTATACGAGAGGATAGCGAGTCGATCTTCTGGGGATGGACCATTCGAGAAGTTCAGAACAATATGCAATACGAGTCAGCGTGTGAACGTATATTCTCACAATCACAATCACCTTCTCAATGTCACTGACGGGGAGCTTATTGTGAACACATTATGCTGCTGCATTCCTGCACCCTTCGAGTCGAGCACAACGTTAACCGCCGACCGATCCAGCGTTTACGGGGCCTTTCAACCTGCGGCATGATTGCGGGCCCATGCTATATTTTTCGAACTCGGGCTTATGCCTCCGCCCATAGCTTGACCCCATTATCCAGCTGACAACCCCATTTTCCCATCCCATCACCCACAACGCCGTTGCCATCCGCGTCCACCTCTGTAGGCATGACTTTCCACAACCACTTCTGCTCGCCTACCCAGAAGATCACGTTCCTCAGGCTCGGAGCGTATGTCCTCATCGTTGCAGCGAACGCACGCTGCGCGAATAAATTGGGCGGCTGGGGCTCCCAAGACGACACGTCGATCTCAACGGCCCACAAATGCGGTAGGCGTAGGAGGGCTGAAGTCAGGCGGTGGTGCTATGAACGAGCTGATTAGTTGGTATAAATGGAAGAGGCGCTTGCTTACATGGACGCTTGGGATGTGTAGCACTCCGATATACCGTATCGTTGGTACTGCTGTCGCGATCATATTTATAGCCTTCCAAACCACGTCTTCAGGCAGTTGCACGTTGATAGCGCGTAGACTCTTGTGCACCCAGCATAGGTTAGGTAACATCGACAGTACCGCACGATCGTTCTCTGGCGCTGGGTTTATTCGGATGTAAGTCAGAGGAGGATAGTGTTTTCGTCCGGGAAAGGGCGTCAACAACTGCTGCGCGATGAACAGCTGAGTTTCCAGCCTCGCTAGATGAGGTAGAAAGCCGTCGCTATCCGCATCGACCGGAATCGTTGGAAGAATAATGTGTGTCGGGGTCCCATCGGGCGACGAGCCGGACAGGTCGATGTATGGGTCAGGACACGATGTCTCCAATGCCACAACGCTTTTTTGCGAGCTCAGGAAGTCCACGAAACGCTGGTCCCACTGGAATCTGAGCTTCAGGTTCTTTAACTGAAAGGGGGGCGTCCCCAGGTCCTCGAATATCCACGTGTTGACGAGAACCGCGTCGGAAATGAGCAGAGTCTTCAAATTGGGCATGTGCTTGAGCCCGAGAGCGACGTCTTGCCATGCTGCGATACGCGCCGCGCTGTTCAGCCGGATGGATCCCAAGGTTTCAAGTACGATGAACAGATTCCGGGGGTAGTCTCCGAGCCGTTCGGAAGCATTGATTTCTCGGCACAACCCTGCTATCTCACTGAGGTCACTGAAGTACAATGAATAGAATAAGCGCGCTTGGGCGGGGCGTAGGAATGCTTTGGAAGAAAGACAAAGGGCGGGAAGGGTCTCGTCCGGTACCCATGGGGCTATGAGCTTGCACAAGTCCGGGCAAAGTGCAATCTTCGGCCCAGCGGACATTGTCGCGGTCCCAGTGAACAATCCTTCAAGAGTTCATGATTATCATTCAGCGCTCAACGGCTGGATACCAGATAGAAGTGCCACTCACCGCAATAATCGTCAATTATAGAGGTATCCCTCGAACCTTTGGACCAGGACCCTTTGGTGCTAGTGGTAGAACGAAAGAAGGATTGTGCTCAAGAATTGCACATGGATCTGTGGCTTGCCACAAAGGCTTCGCTGCCAAGAGGCGCCCAGGATACTTCAGCGCCCCTTTGAGTCTTGACACAGACGGTTGACCCCATTGATCTTAGTAGGTTCTTTCACCTCCGCTGCTTTCCTCCTTCTCCTTGCGCTGTCTCCACGCGATAGATGTAATAACGACGCGCTTATCGACCGGTTTATACCAAAAATGGGATTTTTATCGGGGATCTCTGTAGGTGAGTTCGATCTGTTGATTTGGGAATTGGACTCAACACTAACCTTCATGGTGGCAAGTCTACTCTTTACACGTCGCGTTGCCGTCCATTCCCAGAGGCTCCGGCATCTTTCTTCCCTTCATGGCAATTTTCTGGCACAACTTGAATACTTCTGGTCTTATTTGCATTTTCAGGATGTCGGTATCTATCCGTCTACAACTAGGAAATGGCAACAGTGGGGTCGACATAACCTGAGTATCTCGTCGCATATCACCACCTAAAAGCCTAGGGTGGAGCAGATAACTTTACGCGAATTGCGATGCGTCTAAAGTTCGCGATTTTGTGTCCCGTATTTTGTAGGGCTCCGATCTATTTCAACTATCCGTCAGCGTCGAGCACCAGCTGCGCTGTAACTCCCCTAAAAAATCCTGCTTTAATGCTGCCCTCTCGTATGGACCCCAAAACCTCAAACCCAATCGTACTTTCGACGCTCCGGCAACTTCGTGTCGCTCCATTTTAATGCTCAAACTCCATGATCTACCGCTGCTATGACTTCTATGACATTTCACTATCCCGTATCTACCCGCGGTACGGCACTACAGCCTCGGAATTTTAAATGCGTAACAACGTGGTTTCATGACGAATGCACATGAGGACACTGTAACAGTAATACCTTCAACTCCTCTCCGGCAATGGGCGTTGCACCGGTCTCCTTGTACGACTAAATTGCAGATGTAACTTCAATCTATCAAGCTGACCTCGGACACAAGCACTGATTCGATCAGACAGAACAAGCTCCCACCCACCCCGAAGCTTTCTCGGATGCAACACTGCGATCTTTATGTGCCGACTATCTGGATCCACCGATTTAACCAACCGCTGCATATTTTGTTCCGTAGGGGTTACCGTACTGTTCCTTATCTCCTACGTCGGCCTCGCCTACACAGAGGACTAGGTGTGCCAGTGGTACGCTCTCTTTATCTTTGCCATGGCTCGGCCTTACGTCCACAGTCTGATCGCCCGGAGTTCAAAAGCTCACTTCAATTGAGTTCGGTGATGTTACGTTCATGCTTCTTTTCATGTCTGGTCTATGAAGATGTGTTCTGACAGTACCATTGGTCGGGCAGCCGTGACGGTGAACTATATATAGCTTATGCTCACCCACTGAATGAGACTCCTCAAAACTCTCGCATCTCCCGTGTTGGCGTACGTACATCTTGATTTTCCATCTTGCCCCGACTGATCACCGATTATCCCACTGTCTCCAGATTCCGTATTGAAAGCATGAAACTTGCGATGTTCTAGCCGCCCTTCTGGCCGGCTAGACTTGTGTTAGGCATTCATCTTCTGGGGTCTTCTCTCTCGTTCTTAATGGCAATCTCTTACTCTCTCAGCTCCACAGGCAGTCAGAAGCGGAAGAGACAAGCGTGAATTACCATTGCACTGCAATTCAAGGGCTCTGAATGATACTAACGGGCCATTCTGTGTGGTGGGGTTTCCCTGCCTCTGACTCTATTCTACTGATGGACCTTAGCTCATTGTCTGCTCCCACCCGGACAGTGGATGGCCGGATGAGCATATCTTAGCCCAGAGGGACCCTTTCGCGCTCCGTGCGGATCGATCCGCTTCTATTTACGCGATGCATGTTGCTGCCCTGCATCGTGAAAGCTACTCTCGGGCGAGCCAATAGCATATGCTGCTCCTCTTTGATATGTGTTCTCGACGCTTGGCCGCTTGTCTAGCAATTAGATGCCTCAGAAGACAGCTGCCTATCAATTAGAAGCAAGGAGATCATCTTGGTCATGACATTAGGCTTGTCTTTGATTGGAGCATTGCAGCTTCGTGCTCTCGCTTTCTGGCACTTCGCATCTGCGGTCTCATTGATGGCTGACCATCGATATTGCTATCTACGAGTTCAGATACCTAGGCCACTTCGTTTTGAAGACACTGCCCACTATCGGCCTTCGAACTTGCTCATTGACGGCGTATATACGCCACTTCGCACTTCAGCCCCCCAATCACGACTTCCGTCATTGAGAACTGGCGACTCCACTGGCTTGAATACCAAATCTATATTGGGTGACAGCCAATCCGGATCCTCCTGCCCAATGCACCTCGTCATACCAGGACGGAAGTTGGAGCTTATAGGCTATGGTATAGCTCGCTGCTTCGGCATGAATCGCGTTGCCCAAATGTATAAAAGCCCTCGTTCGTACCAAGTTTCTTCAGTTAAACTCACAAGTGTAACTACCACCCCAACAGCAAATAATCACCTACCAGAATGTTCTCCAGCACCTCTTCGTTGTTCTTCGCAATCGTTGCATCCACGATCTTTGCGGCCGCCATGCCCGGAGGTGCACCCCCGACCAAGACTGCGACCCCGCCAAAGACTGTGACTGTTACCAAGGTTAGTTGCAGCCGTACGATGTTCACAGAACAAGTACTGAATGTAATCATTTTATTGCAGACAGCAACTGTGACTGCAACTGCTATTCCCGCCTCGGGGTGCAACGCCGGCGATGTCCAATGCTGCAAAAGTGTCCAGAAGGTACATAAGTATTGATTTTATTTTGTCGGTACCGCTGCTCATGCATCATCTTGGGACAATTGTCAGGCTGATTCCGCCGGCGGCGCCGCTCTCCTCGGTCTACTCGGCATAGTCCTCAGCAACCTTGATGTGTTTATAGGTGGCGATTGCTCGCCCATCACCGCTATCGGTGTCGGTGGTACTTCCTGCAGCTCGCAAGCCGTCTGTTGCGAAAACAATTCTTTCGTGAGCCCACAATCTTATGCCGGAGAGAATCGGACTCTGACTGCTTGTCTCGTTTAGAATGGACTAATTGCGCTTGGCTGCGTTCCCATCAACCTCAGCCTCTAAAGTGCCGACAAGCCTCGTGCCTCTGTCATTGTCACTGAGATTTACCAAAGCTGTCTTCGCGTAGTTTGGTTAGTTTTTGTAGCTATGAACAATCAGTTATTGATATATTGAATCTTGTACCAATCATGGGCCTATTTGAATCGTACACAACCCTCGGATATGTGATCCCCTAATACCTATAGTGAGCTACTGAGTTCTCGCGCTGAGGTTTTATCGTTGACTACAGTCGAGGACAATCAAACACATCAAATATGATCGAGACAGATTGAGAAATTTTGGGACCAAACCGTGTTCAGATTCAGGACCAGACAACCTGAAAGAGCTCAAAAAACGATGTCCGAAGTTTTTCCCACGAGTATTTGATGTGGCCAATTTTTTTTGGGAATTTTTTGAAACATATACTACCCTTTTGAGCAACTTTTGAGTCAATTTAATGATGAACTAAAGATTCTATCGCTAGTCGCGCCAACCGCGATGACTGGGACCCAGTATTTACATACTATATGTCATATTTAAGACTTTGTGAGTTGCAGTGTAATGTAGAGGCCGGTTATATCATTCTTCGAGGCCTTGGAGGCCTTCCACATCGTTTCATTGATATCCAACGGTGGGGATGACACAGCTGCGCCGATAACGTGATAGCGCCAAGAGGAGACGCCCAGGGGTCCTTATCTCACGTGAGCAAGTTTGTTAATTGTTTTCTGCCTCACCCGCTCGTTAGATATCAATTATTTATACTGTAAAATGTCTAGCTTGAGGAGTACTATAAAATGGCTTATTCAAATTTCACCCATCTTTTTTTTTGCGTGTGGCCAAAATTTTGAGGGTTCACTGTTTTTCGGCCAATGAACGGCTCGATAGAATTCACTCGGACCACGCGGGATATATTCTAATAGATGCCTATTATCATTCTAAAACAATTCCTGGGGTAAAATTAATGGTCAATATTTATTTGATGTGTTTGATTGTCCTCGACTGTAGGACTGTTCGCTCCAGTAATTTGTTCAAATTTTGTCTTGCGACTGAGCACCGCCGCCGGTCACATGATCTTTGATTCCAATGCGCCACTTTATTCTGAACGGCCATCACACGTTTCACCACCAACCAACATGTCAAAGTCTTTCTTCTTCCTTTGCCGGGAAAAGCCTTCGACGAGAGCAATCCATCTCAGAGCGGATCCTGAGCTGTCTGTATCTGAACTTGCATTGCAATTCTTCCGCCAGTTCAACGACTATTACGCCATGTCGTCTGCACCATGTGAATGGGAGATCTACAAGTTCAAGAAGGAGGTAAGTGATCGCCATTGATGCCTCTGAGCGTTTTCTGATAATACTAGGTACGTATATCCCGGGAGACCCGTCCTCCATACACGTTTCCCGCAGACCTACACGAAATCGCCGATTATCTCCATGATGACACTGAATTGTCCTCACTTCTACCTCGATTACAAGAACAGGATAAATACTATCATGGAATCATCTCCGTCAACTCTACGATCCAGCCTACAACCCACAATACCGAGGAGAAAGATGTACTTACAGAGTTACGCAATGGTATGTGGTGGTTCGCTGTATCTGCTCCGTGTCATCTGTTGACTGTCGAATTGGTTGTCAAGTTTATAACACTACCATTGCACAGTCTCGTAGAAGCCAAACGCCTAGCGAGATCTCCAAGTCCGCCAATTATCGTCGGAACCAGGCTACGAAGGAGACCTTGTTGTTGGATGGTAGATATGATTTCCGTGACCCTGCCAACACTACGGCACCCCCTGTAGAGCTCTACAATCCCGCATTCTCTCAGTTTCTGGCTGACATTGCCGACCCCACCCTGGAGGTCCCAAAGAAACTCATCCCCAAAGTGGCAAAGCTGATGGATCTCGCCTCCGCGATTTACAATGCGGAAGAAACCCGTAGGACGAAGCTACAGGGACCTCTCAACGATGTGATGGATTGCGCCTTAGCAAGAGTAACAAACTCTGACGGCACGGCTCCAGACGCTACAGGCCTTCACGTCCTCCTCAAGACAACGAGCCAGGCCGCGGCCATTTGCATTGAAGAGTATAAAAACGAGTATGGCGAGGGATCAACTGATGTTACCACACAAGCATCCTTCTCGATGCAGCGTATGTGGAGTCTTCCTGAAGTGAGTTCCAAAAAGTAGTATGGAAGTCCTACATGACAAACTGACAATTATGCAGAATAATTTCATTCGGGAGCGTTGTTGTTGCCCCACATTCCTTATTGCAATCGGGGGACCATGGTTCGGGGTTCTTGGTGCAGTCCTTACGCACAAATGCATCGTACAGCGCCTCACCGATCTCGCCTGGCTTGGCCTCAGCACGCCTTTGGAAGAGCAACGCTGCATTCGGCTCTCCAAGCTGTTCTACTCTCTCGCTCGCGCCCTCCATCGCCTTCGTGAGTGGTACGACACTGAGTTACCTACTTTTTCCTTGGCGGAAGCACCATCCCACCCACGCTTCTTCCCGTCTATCACCTCTTACCCTTCTCCTTCTGGGAATGTGGTCTTTCGCTATCTGCGGCCGCTGGAACGCGACAATGCTTGCGTCGCCTTTCTCGCGGAAATCGTTGAAGGTCCGGAATGCTTACTCGAGCCTTCAAAAACTGATGAACAAGGACAACTGATCGTCGTCAAGTTCGCAGCGCGGTACTGCGTTGAGGCCCATCAGCTTCTTGCTGATATGGGCATGGCTCCGAAGCTGTTTCACTGCGGCCAAGTGCAACCAAGACGCCCAGGTCTGCTCCTAATTGCAATGGAGTACCTCAGCGGCACCACAGTCAATGGTCTTACTGCCGACCAATGGCAAGCCTGCAAAGTCCAATCCAATGTGGGCAACATCGTCAAAGTTTTGCATGATAACGGTCTTGTGTTCGGAGACCTTCGCACCCCAAACATCATGTACTTGAACGGTTCGTTCAAGTTGATCGATTTCGATTGGGCAGGGAAAGAAGGCGAAGCTCGGTATCCCCCTTTCCTATCAACTGTTATTCCTTGGCCTCTTGGCACGCAGCCGTCTGCTTTGATTACTCGAGAGCATGATTTAGAATGGCTCCGCCGACTTGGATGATACATAGGTACTCTTTGTATGTGTCGTGAAGCCACAAATATGAAATCATTCCACATTCTATGAAATACCAAAGTCTGTCAATTCGGGTAAAAGAATACCTCAAACTGCAAGACCGCCCGCTATGGACATACTTTGCAGACAGAATATTAGCCCAAAATGCATGGAAAAGCGACGAGAATGTCCCACTAGACCTGAACACCTACAGTCCCTAAACATGCGACAAATCGTGGGTCCGCCGTAGTGTAAGCGGACTAGTAATTGAGCCCTCACTTACACATCTGCGCCCATAATCATGTACTCAAGCTTTCGACTGTACCCATTGCCGACAAGCTTGTTGACCCTAACCGCGGGTGGCACGGCATCCCTATTCAGTTAAGGTTATTGAGGACCACTGGGATGGGAATGAAGGCTTACTTGAGGTCACCAAAAGCAAATAAAACAAATGACCTTCCGCCATAAAGACCCTATGGGCTCATTCATTTCCAAAATCACCCCCAAGGACGACCAAATGTCTCAACCGTCCTATACAGATACCTCCCCTATACGTCAATTAATAGTTCTCATCAATCAGAACGCTTCGATCCTTGAGGCGGTTTGCTCGCAGAAGTCAACCCCCATTCCCGATCTCAATGTACCGTTTCACCCCTCGACGGAAACTTTCCGTAGTATTCCTATGGCTGCTGAGGCGGCGAATGTCATATGTGCGGCTGCCCTACAGCTCGCCGCTGTTCTGATGCCTCCTCAGGTTACGTTGTATCATGTTGCTGGCGGTGTTAGTCTGTGCTTATGTCTATGCAAGTATACACATACTGATTGCCAGCAATAAACAAAAGGACAACAGCTACTCTTCCGTTGCTTAGACCAACTACTTACAAGGGTGTAACCGTCAGGCCATATCAATGGGCTGAGTCGATTCCGAGCTGGTTACTGATCTGCGCCATCCTTGTTATGTGTTGGAAGGGGATCCTCAAAACGATGTACGATCCTTGTAATATTGATACCATGCTCCAAATCTCGATCGTTCTTTGCATTAGAATCCGGGGCGGAGCTACTGTGAGCAGAACTACTATGTGGCTCAAGCTCATAGACACCGGTTATGATCTAAGGGTGATCTCAGTCTCAGCCTTCAGTTGTAGAGAAGTAATGTGTCACCTTCTGCGGGTTAGAGGACTTGGAACGCTCGCTCTAAGACAACAATGAATTACCAGATTCACGGGCACATAAGTCAAAGAAATAACTTACACTTCTCGTTGTTCGTATCATCGTATTATTGTGGTCGTCTCCGAAGAGGACATTGTGTTGGTCGCTTCCAGTGAGGTTGTTCCACCCCGCGCGGGCATTCAGGGTCGAAAGCAGGGAGTTGGTGTACAACTTCGACAAAGCAAAATCCCAAACGAAATTTCTATATCAGCACCTAGAATCAGTCTCGAGTAGTCTGGTAGAACACAACATTGGCATACAGAGTGGTGTTCTATTGCGAAGGGAAATGCCAGGTAAGTGCATCGAACTTGTAGATGATCACGGTTGAACTTACAGGAACGACTAGGAAGATGATAACATCAGCCGCAGCAGAGATAGCTGTAATCATGCCAGTTTGGACAGACACTAAGGGTACAGGCACCGTCAGTTGGCGATGCAAAGACTGATTGCAACAGCTATACACACAGCGTATGATCCTATTGATCACATCATCAGTGGCTCGGACACCGCTCTTCCTGCGATACTGCGACCGTTCTTCAGTTGTAAGTGAAGTATAGAAGTTATAGCTGAGGCATACCAGGGATATTACAAGGCTGCTAGTAATGACAATGTCAGCGGCAGCGGACGAGGCAAGCCACGTAATTACGGCCCCGTCGAACTCGTGAAGTCTTGCATACTCAGGAATAAGTGTTACGGAGATTGTCGTAGCGATCCCGCCGACTGTGATCGGGGATCAGTATGGGTCTACTTTTTATGTGGCGTGGATGGGGAAGAGGACTTACTGAATGCGCAGATCGAGAAGAAGGAAACGATGCCTGCTGTCAGCTTGGACTTGGTGATTATGTTGATCCGCCACGCGATGAACAATTGAACGGGTGTGGATATCATCACCTTTGGGCAAAGTGATCGTAAGCATGAATAAATTACTCTAGGTAATTAACTCACCGTCGCAATGGGGTCTAAACAGGTATTTTCAGCGACTTTGGCCCATTCTGTGGGAAGCGGGCGCAAACTTACCTGCGGATAGCACTGATAGCCGAGGGGTTCAGCGTTAAACCAATGTGATGCATGTGAGAAAGCCTCACTTATGGGAGCCACAATCGTCGCCCGAGGTGTTGCTGCGAACGTTTACTTGAATTAGAACGCTCGCTTGTAGGATGGAGGGGAGCCGTCGAATACTAACCATAGCGTACAATGAGCGGTTCGTACATCATTCCGATATCAAAACCAGTGTTCAAAGTCTCCAAGATGAACAAGTAGAGGATCTACGAGGTGAGTGTAAGCCACCGGACTCAGGGCTAAAGACTTGATCAATGGTACCAGGTATCTGATCCATGGCTTATCACTAGACATCGTCTGATAGTCTGCGGCAACATAACATGAAGAGGACTTACTTCTTGTATGTCTGGTAGTAGATGAATGTCTGAGTGATGGATGCTGTGAGCGACAGCGTCTATACTAAATGACATCGAACTTGCGGAACATACCTGCACAACAAGAACCTACAGATCACCCATTAGCCTCGGGTGGATTTTTTACGAACGTCATGCCTACCCCGTAAAGGATTGTGTTGAGGTACACCCCAATAAGCATGGGCCCAAACCTATAAGTCAAGTGAAGATGTATCAGCGGTGGTTACACCAATAGTAAAACAGAAAATACTAACAGTAATCCAACGCCAGGCATTGTAATATTCAGTGAGTGTTTTCTAGGGCCAATGGCTGAACAATAGTCGTACTCCGTGCTTTATAGGTCCGAAGAGGATCTCCGAATTTAGCACCGAGGGAGATAGAAGCCTCGGAGCACCGTGCATCATGTCGAAGTGCTTTAAGTGATGTTCGATGTCAGCCACATTTGTTCGTGAAACGGTGAAAGTGACTTCGCCATGCGGGACAGGCCACAACTTTCTAAACAAAGTTCATGTTTGTATGTCCGTTGTCGTGATTGAGAAATTACTTACGCTAACAGCCTCGATCCGAAGGGAAACTGGAGTACATCGATGTCGGAGTCCCGTGCTGGACATGCCATCTATCAACCTCAGCGCTCTCGCAACATCTGCCCGTCTCCTCAGGTGGTAGTACTGGAACTTGAAGTTCCGAAATCTAGGTTGTACATGCATCTGTCAAGGCTGATTGACGTAGCGTGGGTCTGATTGTTCAAAGCTTGTGTGCAGAGCTACAATGGCACAACAACAGCATAACCTGGCTTCTGGGGTTAGCTCTTCTCACGCCAGTGATTGTATACCGAACAAGTTGAACTTGTTGGGGTCCGAGTCTCGTGCCTGTGGGTTCAGTCCCACGCCGCCAAAACTTGTCCAGTCACTGTTCTCCGCGTCTTGTTCGCATCACACAAGCCTCGGTGAGAAAAAAGCTTCTGTCACGCCGCTTCAAAGCCTCGGGTCGTTTGATAGAGGTGAGTGTAACCCCCATCATGGCAGACCCCCGCTCAGGTGCTGTAGGAATTATTGGTGCTGGTGCGGCTGGTTTGATCACTGGCTACACCCTACTGCAGGATGGATTCGAAGACATCCAGCTGCTCACGCGCGACACAACACCTGGAGGTATCTGGGCAGAAGAGCGCGTCTACCCTGGGTTAACAATTAACAAGTAAGTTTAGAATCACCCTTGCAGTGCTGCGGGGTTCATAACTCCCCAACTTCTAAACCTTAGTGTATATGGAGAATTTCGATTCTCACCGCTACCCATGCCCGAGACTGGTGGCCGGCTCACTGGAGAGGACATGCGGTCATATATGTCTGCATTTGCCAACGAGTTCCTCAAAGGCCGTATTCGTTACAACACCGAGGTCCTTGAAATCAGACGACACGATTCTGGTGATGGCTGGCTCGTTGAGATCGAGGATACGCGCTCGCGGATACGTCAAGTATTGAGGTATGCGAAGATAGTACTTTGCACCGGAGTATGTTCTTCATTTTATCAACGCAGTCTCGTCAAATTTCAATTTATATAGGGCTGCAGTAGTCCGTTGATACCCGATGAAGTCTCTCCGGCAGCCGCGAAAGTGTCCGAATTCAACGGTCCCGTAATTCACTCCTCTCAGTTTCGCTCGCAGATGGACGACCTACTGTCAATCGTGAAGCCGATTGATGCCAATGCGCCTGATTCAGTGGGGCGGATCGTAATTGTTGGCGGAGGCAAGTCTGCGCAGGACATTGCAGCCTATCTCACGAACGAAAACCGCAAGGTATCTGTCGTATTTGAACGAGCAGACGCCGTCCTGGGTGTTACCTCCCCCTTGCCTGATTTCATTAGAAGGAGCCGATTCCTGGGGATCATGTCTCCGCACAGTGAATTGAGAACACGATTAGAGTGAGTCGATGAAGGACTGAAGGTATATATCATCCGATGACAATATCGACAGACGTTTCTTGCATACGACTTGGCTTGGGAGTAAGATCGTCCATTTTGTATGGAACACGATAGCATCAACTTCCGTGCGCCACTCTCGATCTTCCGCTATGCATCGTCCTAGTAACCGAATACTTCTATAGTTCGATGCCCTCAAGATCCCGAAAGACTCTCCCCTTCGAAATGCCCACTCTCTCTTCTGGGGAATCCGCACAAATGACGAGGGAGTTTTGAGGCCGAATGGTTTCCACAGTCTCGTTGCGGACGGCAAGATCGATCTCGTCGCCCCAGTCCGGGTTACAGGGTACGGAGAGGACGGCAAGTCTATCAAGCTAAGCGACGGGCGAACTCTGGACGCTGCCGCCGTAATATTAGGCACTGGGTTCACGTCTTCCTGGAAAGGGTTGTTCACGGGTACGTATCAGCATAGTTCCTCTTTGATACATACAGAACGGCACTGATACGTCGATGTGTCTTTAGAGCAGACTGCCGATGAACTAGGCTTGAGCCGACATGCACCTGCCGATGTCCAGACAAATCAGTGGGACAATTATCAGTCCCTCCGTGATCCTCCGAGCTTCCTGGCGACCTCGAAGCAGCAGCAATGGGCTTCCTCTATCTACCGCGGCCTCGTACCTTACAAGAACATAAACAAACGTGATTTCGCTATCAACGGCGCCATCGTGAGTCTCGTCCCAACCTAATTTTGTCGATGATGCCCCAAATCGAGTACCTTAGTTCACGACGAATAACGGATATGCATTCGAGACGTTCTCGCATTGGATCTCGGCGTATTTCCTCGGCGATAAAATGCGGTTACCAGCAACACCGGAGGAAGCGTTCGCCGCCACTGAAAGGAATGCTGAGTGGCTGAGAAAGCGCTTCCCGGGCATGCTGCTGTGGACGAACGAGAGCTATAGCAGCAATCTTGCCTTCTTCACGTAAGCCTTCGCCCCATTCATGTCTAATGTGGGTCCACTAATTAGTTCACATTACAGGTGGCCACAAATCGTGGACGAGATTTTGGAGGATTTGGAACTGCCTAGCTTGAGAAGCGGCGGGAACTGGCTCACTTGGCCATTCAGGGTGATTGATTTGACGGAGATTGCGACGCTTCGAGAAGAACGAGATGCCAAACGCCTTCAACGAAGTAGTTAGCTTCGATTTGAGAAGTCATCTTTCAGCAGCGCTGGAAACGAAAAAGATCAGTACCGGATTGATATCATACACAACGTAAATGTCAATCCCTGCGTGTCACCAGCCTGAATTTATGTAACCCGCAAAACGACTAGTTACATGGGTCGCAGGTCGAGCAAAGGTCGGGTGTAGGCAACAGCAAGGTTAGGGGGTTGACACCGTTTGAAGGAGATGCTTGGAAGCATCCTATGCCTCTTGTTCAAGCTATTCCATAGACCGTTTGGGTGAATCGAAGTCGCAGGTGAGCACCTTCCTTGCATTCACTTCTAGGATCGCATTTCGAGCGACGTTCTACACCGACTCTATAAGGACGGGTCGTTGCGTTATAATCAACCTCACGATTGGAGGCGATGGCCTTGCGGAGGATGTATTCATTCAGGCAAACGAAGTACGGAAGCTGAGGGAGACATTTTCGGCATTGTTTGACGCGAATGTGTTGGCTGTCAAGCTGGTCTTCATGGGGTTACGGAGTCGACATTGTGTAGCTGTACTTCACTACAACATTGTACTAGGCACGGATTAGCCTATCTTGTGGAACACACGATGCAATGGTCATTGCACCAGGCTGGGTTTCTCCTTCCCCAGATATGTCACGTAGATACGCCTATTCCTCAACCCACTTACTTTGATGATTCGATTTTCGCCAGGCATCATATCCAGTGCGTTATCGCTCCAAAGGATCCCATCACCAAATTCTTGACTTTCCGTCCCTCCACCATCGATGTTGAAGAAGACCCCCTTCGCGGGTCTGTCAACGCTAACACGTAATTCCTCTTTCACAGCATCTACCTTCACCGTTATTTTAGGATCGGGGATTCGCAGGTATTTGAAAGGCTGAGGCCAATCTGCGTGTCGCGCCAAAACTTCCCCGGTGGATGGGTTGATAAGGCGGGCGCTGACTATAACAGAGCTGGTGCTGGTCCATTCGGGGACTTTGTACGGATCAGCATCCTTACGGGCGCTGGCCTTCGGGGGGCCGGGGCACGGCATGGAGATGAGTTCGGTTGATTGGTTTGGAAGCAAATGTACTCCACGGGTCTCCTTGTGAAACCAGTCAGAATTGAGATCGACACAATATAGTTCAAGTTCAGCATCAATCAACTGCAATGAGCTGTTCATTCCCCAGATGTCAATGCGGGCGCCATGCGATTGTATCGCCCCAAACTCGTAGAACTGGCGGTTGAAGCATGTTAAACCGCAAAATCAGGATACGTCGGGTAAATTTCCATACCTGACGAGGCCTGTCGTGGTCGCGATTCTGGATGACCTAGACACCAACAAGTCAATCCCCAAGCAGGCGATAGTGTAGACATATACGTACCGTTCTTGTTATGCCGACTGCCACCTCTGCAAGCTGACGTGAGATGGTGTAGTAAGCTGGCTTTGGTCTGAGCTGTCGGAACGTCAGATGATGGTACAACAGTGGGGCGAGGGTGAACGACGGACGTAGTAATCCACTATCGCCCAGGATGTTACCGGCCAGCAGTCGTTGAGCTGCCATATCAAAGCGCCGGCCGTCTTAAGATTGTGGATACATCATATGTCAGTAGTAAAGGGCGATCCAGCGTTGCCTAGCACGCACGTATTCCTTGCCCTTTCCGCGCCATTTCCTTCGCCATGACTGATAGGCGTAGCTCGTCGCCTCTGATTGCATCAACTGTGTAGTGTATTGGTAACTGATCAAAATTAGACCACTGCTTTATCAGGTGGCGAAGCGGGAAATTGACGAACGTCTCGAAGTCGCTCGTCATGCGGAAGTTCTCATTCATGAGAATGGCGAATCTTCGCTCAAAGCTGCCCGCTCGGGTATGTTGCGCCATCCATATTGACTGTGGGTGCCAATCGGATTCGGCGGCACCCTCCATCCACGATTCAATGGTCTTCATGCTTGGCATTGATGGAATGCCGAACTCACTGGATGCTGATCATTTAGAGCCCTTGAAACTGCACCGAGGGAGAATCACCGCACCTAACGAAACGCCCTCCGAGTTCATCGTAGCTTTGGTATGGCAGCTCCTTGCCTCCCCAGATATTCCATTGATGTACATCTCCGATAGTGGGGTCGCTGGTGTTCCATCCTTTACCTCCGTAAGGAGACCCACGGTGATACGGTATGGGTGGTTCAGTGAGCCCAGAAACAACAGCAGGCAATACTTCCTCGTAAATCTTCCGTGCTGGGAGGGTGTCGATCCCTGTTCCCGGCGTCATCTCTGATATTCCATGAAGGCGTACACAGCGTGCTTACCGCCCCACTGCAGAACCTGCTGATAGTCTTCGTTGTTCCCGCAGAACAAGGCGATCGACGGATGATGCCGTAGCCGTCTTACATTATCCTCCGCTTCCTTTCGCACATTCTCCACAAATTCATCGTGTGCCGGGTAGACTCCACAGGCGAACTGAAAGTCTTGCCAAACAAGAATGCCAAGTTCTGCCATAAGCCAATATGTTCGCGCGTCAGCATCCAAGTTCACGTTCAGTAGCTCACCATCACAAATATCGTAGAAGACGTCGGGTTCATAGACACCTCCTCCCCATAAGCGTACCATATTCTGATTCCCCTTAACGAGTAAGGTCAGCCATGCACGGTACCGTTCAGGTGTAATAGTTGTGAGGAAATTGTCAGCGGGAACCCAGTTCGACCCTAATCGTCGTAAGGAGCACGAAAAGAGAAGATATTAGAGTAATCGCATATTTAATTAGTGGAAATACGGACCGCCCATGAACATCCTAACACGGTTGATCTCGAATAAAAAGGTTGAGCCTGTACCATATTGATCAGGTTCCTTCAGCGGCTCTTGCACGAGTGAGACCGAGCGAAATCCTATGCGTTTTGTGATTTGATGAATGACTTCATCAGTCTGCCAACGATAGAAGGTAAATGCCCACTTCAATGACTGTAAGGTAAACTCACTTTGAGGAGAACCAGATCGACCTCTAGACTATAGAGCGATTGAGTGCCATACCCCACGGGCCACCAAAGTCGTATGTTATCATCGTTGAGGCTCCAATCAACTATGCCCTTTAGAGACACTTTCTTCAGCTTCTCCGTCTTGTGGGGGATTTCTTGTCTTGCCGTCCTAATGGTCCTACCGTTGAGGTGGTTCAGCGACACTACGATGGCGTAGTCCTTATTGAAATCGCCTTGCACAACCGCGTTGACGCCGACTCTTGCAACGAACGTACTCGAAGAGGACTCTGGGAAGTGAACTGTGATGCATGGTTGGACTTCCTGTATCCTTGCGAGGTACGTTTCGATCCGGATCGATCTATATGGTCCGCAAGTCATCAACTCTGGGCCCTAACGAAATGGTTAATTCGACACTGTATCTGTGGGCTTGTCACGAAACGGACCCAATCCCATCTATTGCGCCAACGTGATTATGAGAAAGTCAAACTTATACGAATTTAAAAGGCCACATACCGCCAGTCATATTGGGCCTTCCGTAAATATACACGGCTAGGATCCCCCAGATTGGTCGATCCGGCGCGCACCTTGCCATACTTCTCCTCTTCTGCCTTAGCGAGCTTCTTGGCCGGCTTGAAGTGCAGCAGTAGGGTGTTTTGTTGCGAGGATGTGGCCGGTTCTTCACCGTCAAGCAAATAAGTATACGTACGAAACATATTATCCGCCGATATGATTTTGCTTTGATTCTTGTTGTCCTTCGATTCAAGGCATTCCGAACAACGGCAGGAAACCACTTACCAAATAGACATCGCAGACAGTGTCAAGCCCTTCGAATATTAATTCTGAGCACTGCCCCAGTTCTAGCCTTGGCCCCTTGAAGGTGCAATAATACAGCCACTCTACCTCGCCGATCCCTGGGATTTAAGTACGATCAGTTTCAATACGACAATCATAGACATGGGCCATACATTGAACTTTGTGTTCGTTGAATGCAACGAATGGATGGGGGATCCACTGACTCCTCAAGAGCTCAACGTGAACCTCGCTTGGAAACGCCACCGCGAGTTGCCATCCACCAATAATGCTCCCTCGAGAGACATCATGGCTGTCGTCCGGTAACCCATGGCCTAATTCTTTCACTACCTCCGCGATAGAATCTTGCCTTTGTTTCCAAAACCACCCCTTGTCAAGTACTGTGTTTAGCATGGCCATATTGACCTAAGATGGCCGGACGTGAGCAGCACTGAGATCTATACTTGTCCGTTTTGATATCGGCCCGAGGACGTTGTCACATGGACGACAGGATAAGATAATCCCATAGGCGTGTCTGCTTGAGCCTGAGAAGAGCGCCGATTGTGATGGGAATACGCGCATAAGCTTAAAGAACAGACGACGTATTGTGGTCAAAGATAAAGCTGAAGTGCTGAATGCGACTCGCGCGGTTAGTTGTTGTGGCTTGTTTGTATATAGTGACCCCTGATTAGAACTTGCTGTTGAGCAGCTGCTCGGTACAACTTCAACTTGCGAGTCTCTCTGAGATGTGATCCTACAAGCCTCCCTTTGGCGCACAGGTGACCAAGGGTGACCAAATCCTACTGGTTATTAAAGGGGGCAATAGGCTTGCGTACCGCACCAAGGTACACACGCATGCACTCATGCCGTATACTTGCTCACGCTGATTTGACGCTGGCACCACGTTGATCAAATTTGCAGTATAGCCAGGATCACAATGACATCCACGCGCCCCTCTGCGTGTTAGTGCATTTATCCGAGATTGACTTCTTATTTCTGAGTCTGACATGGAAGGCCGATGGATTTCATACCGCTATGACATTCTCGCAAATTTATTTTCTGGGGCGCACCCGGAATCTGACTATCCAAGGCCATTCCGGCTAGGATTCCCGAGTGAGTCCTCTCTGCGGTGGAAAATACGCCTTACTTCTTGCAAGCTAGCTTGATTACTTGTCGGCAGTATTACGCCAGTATTTGCCTCCATGTTCAATCTCAGAAATGAACGTGCCTCCGGCATTATGTGAACAGTGGTGATGTCAGTTGTATCAATAGCCGCATTGTCGCCTCCGAATGCGATCTGTTGCCGCTTAGCTTCATCCATGACGGATCGAAATCCCTCGGTCTCCTTGTATCATGCCATCAACTCAGACACTCGCATTCAACGCGCTCACGCTCCTATCGTGCTCTGTAAGCTCATTACTGGGCTCGCTTTCAAAATGCCTGTATCCACGTCGATAAAGCGGCTTTCACGCGGCTCCTCGTCCGCTAGCCGTCTCAATCGCCAGAGGAGACTCCCAATCTCTCCATGTGCTGCATCAACAGTGAGCATCGTGTTAATCTACTGCAGACCAGCCTGTACAGAATCCACACGGATCGATCCCTCGCAACGCTTGGCACCCGAACCACTTGCAATACAGTTGTTGGACAAGCTTTCGTTGTATGTAATTCATATCGCGCCGATTCACCGCTATGTCCATGTCGTCTCTCAAGGGCCTCATGACTACCCTTAGTAACAACACACTACCGGTGCCTGTCGTTAACTTCAGACTCGCAATAATGGGGCATGATGGCCATGGGGCACCAGCTAGTCGGATGAATTCGCCAGTAGGACGATAAAGCCGTACGGACGTGCGAAATCAGGACACCAAATTCCCCTCGCTTGTCATGGGGTCAGGGCAACCTCCGACATCCGTTACGGCAACATTGACTATTCAAGGGGCCGAGGGACGCTTTTAGCGTTCTTCTCTTCTTGGTCTCCTGCTCTCTCGGCTTCCTTGATCCTACAACTACGGTGCGTACCACCGTCTCCTTACAAATTTGCGTTCAGCAAATAATAATGGAACACCAGGGAGGGTACAATATACAATACACGGGTATATGCGGGTGAGCTTGATGCGCGTGCTCTGATGTGCTCTGGTGCAATGGTGATGGGATGTTGGCGAAGGGTTTGTCTCTCGCTTTATTCTTATCCTCCTCCTCTAGCGCGACGGGCCATCGCTGCACGGCATGCAAAGCAATACTCATCGACGCTGTCGATATCTTTTTGCACTTCCTTGCCATAATTCTGCAAGCGGAATGTGAGCGAGAAACGTTCCCGAAGTTACGAGGATTGGCTCACTTTCAAACATGTTGGTTGTCGACATCCAGGTGCGTGTAGATAGCTTCGTTCACAGCGCGGAGAATTGCAATCCATGATTGCTACGACGAGATGGCGTTGGAAATGCTGCACTAGTGTGGTCAGTATCCCAGACGAAGCGAAGAGCGAAGGACTCCACTAACCCCACAGAGGGTCCATCTTGTTCCTTCACTATAAAACACTCGTCAGTGCACCGACTACCCTCATGTTTGTGGGTATGCGTACGATATTTGTTGGCACATGCGAACAGTGGTTGCAGGGCAAGAAAATGTCCGGTTGAAATATTAAAAAGCGAGGGGACAAACGTTGAAGGCAGAAATCGGGGGAGGAGCCTAAAGGTGATAATATACTTTGCGACAGGGCTTCTTAAACTGTCAGTGGGCCCGATGAGTGGAACCAAGATATTTTGATTCACATCACACCTCAAGGCGCTCACGGATGTGCTCATGCGATTAGGGCAAGTCCTAATCGTACCATGGAATATGCCGCGATTCACTTGTCAGCTCTCAGACCCACCAGTGAATCAGTCGGTTCAAAAGCCAACGTTTCAACAGCCAGGCCGTTCGTGAGATCAGCAGCACGTACCACATGCCCGACCTTTCCGTCGTAGTGTAGCTGGCATGTGACCTGCCTAGCACCAGTGAACCTGTATATGGGGAACAACAAAACAAAGGTTTGGTAGATCAGAAGCTAGCTTGTTTGGGCGCGGGTCTTAATGTATGGATGTACCTTTCATGTATGCAAGCGGGTAAAACTCACTTTGTTTTGGCGCGAAAATCACTGTTTGCTGTAGATTCCTATCGTGCTGATGATACTTTATCTAACGCCACGGGCAAGGTCCGTATGGGCACACTCCTTGTATTTTATTCAGGGACAACCTCGCGGAATCAATTTGGCGGGAATACTCAAGTACGCAAAAACATTGCTGGAACGGCTTTCCCGCCCAGGGACAACGTGCGTCATGGAAGCAGCTTCAGCTGTATGTTTATTTTTGCCTCCCCGTATCGGAGGTCCATGTGTAGCGGATTGGGGCATCGATGTGTGAACGATAAACCCAGATAGATGGTGTTGATGTTGGGATCGGAGCGTTGTTTGCCTAGGCCACGAATGGATTGTTTGGTCTCGGAATACAAGGAGCCTGTCATACAGGTATGAATGACAATAGGTCGAATGCAAGGCAAAGGAACGATCAATTGCCTCCTCCCTTTGTATACTTAGGCGGAAATAATAGAACGTATGGCCGACGCCCGTCGACCCTCCGCAGAGAATCCTCGCAAGTTGGTACCGCGCCCAAAGGTTTGGACGTCTACTCCTTATGTTGATCGTCCAGATGAACTACAACAAACTTCCGGGTCAACAAATTGAAGACAGAACCGAAAATGAATGCCATGACGGTGCAAGTGAAGATGATGACGTTGTATGGCATGCTGAAATCAGGAGTAGCGAGGTCAACCAGCAGGGTGGGGGTATAGATCCGTTGGCCCAAGGAATGGCCATCAATTCGGTCGCTGCCGTTGCGAAGTGGCACAAATATGGCGGGTGGAAGGTCCCAGCCGCGTTGAGCGTCTGGCTGGTGATCAGTATATCGTAAGAACGCTTTTGAAACATCCATAGATAGCGCCACCGTAGATTTCGGAGGCAAGGTCAAGATAGCTTGGAATGTCGTCGGCCGGGAATGGTGGAGTGGGGGGAAATATGAAACATTAGAGATTAAGCCGGCTAGAGATAGTTAGACACTGATACGCTGATATTGCAGGGGGGACTTACCATGTTTGCGACCATCTACAGTTGCGCTCAGCGTGTGTGCGTAAAACTGGACAAGCCATGGCATGGTTTCCAGGTACACAACTCGGAGCTCTTCGTTCAGTCGATTTTGTACCCGTACGGCCAGATGTCCGTTTGCTTGACTAGCTCCCGTTAATGTACGTTGCAGGGCCAGAGGAACCAGTGGCACGCTTGCTGATCCCAGCGCTGCGCAGAAAGGAAGTTGTAAGTCGAACAAATGCAGCCAGCGGTTGATACTTACGGTATTGGAACTCCGAGGGCCAACGCATGGCGATGTCAGACGGAAGATGTCCTAGTTGAGCATGTCGGAATGAACGGCTTGACAGAGAAACGAATAAAAAGTTACCATCTACATTCAGATTATATCGTCCGATGCCGCCATCACTCGAGGAAGGCGACGGCTCTAAACTGTACGCTTCCTCGGCTGGTAATTTTACATCGATCGTGCTTGAACTAGCCACGGGACATCGATTGTCGATGGAGCGATCGAACAGACTCCGGAAAGACCAATCTGGGGTAGATGAATGTCTTGAAATAAGCAATAGATTGTGAGACACTGACCTCTTCGCTTAGAAGAAGATTGACGTAACGGATCTGAGACTAGTTGAAAGGACAACCTGACTTCAACGCCTTGACTCGCATGCCACAGCACATGCGCACTCATGCCATGCCAATCGGCGTCGAATAATCGATGAGGGTTGAGCAACGAGGCAATCCCCGAAAAGGATTTACAAGGCAGGAGTTTGAGGAATGGAGTGAGATTTTCTGTACAAACGTGCTCCGAGGGGAGAGACGCGTGACGCAGTAGATGCGGCCCAGGCCAGTTAGGCAAATCTCCCTCAGGTACAAAGGTCATCAAGGGAGATGTCGTCCGCTGTTCGTCCATGGAAGCAAGAGATGCACAGAAAAGACCAGAGAGTGCGTTGCGCAGGCCTGACCATCGTTCGTCAACGCTTCGGTGGCCATCAATCAGAGGCGAGGGTGTCAGAAATCACGAATTACCTACGTATAAATCCCTCCTTCCCCCATCCACGCCCATAGTTCAGCACCAGTAGCGACACCGAGTTCTCCAGGATAACCCCATTCATCGTAATTCCACTTTCCAGCGTTCATAGACAGATGCAGTTCCGTGACCGCGTACTCTCGTAGTATTTGGCCCAGGGCCAGTGGGAATACATGATAGTGCTGTGCTAGAATTTCGGTGATGTAAACTGTATAAGTCTAGTAGGTGGGGCACAACATACATTTATCATCCGAGCCAAGGGACTCCGGACTCCTAGGCGTGGCTCCATGCAGAAAGGTTCGGAACGAGAAGGTGCTCGCAACTCTCCCGTCGCGCAGTGGGCGGATTTGAAGCTCCTCACTGAATTCTTCACCCGAGGAACTTGAAGCTTGGGCCAGCCCGCTTCCAGCAATAAATGTAGCAAGTATTTGGAGCAAAATCGTCGGTACCGTGGCCATTGTCTCGTGCGGGGGCGGCACTCTTACGACCTGAACGTCGCTATGAACAGTGGCCGATACTCCCTTTCGTCTACTTAGGCGCCCTTTGCACGTGATGCACCGTGATGGTTTAGGATGTGAATCTTGATGTGGACTTCTTGAACGAACGACCGTTTTCGCCGATCTTACGAAGGGAGGCCCGCTAAGTACGGCGTATATCCTTGACGGTCAGTAGTAGTCCCTCGCTGCCAGTACGGCCCCCTCACGCGATACAATAGATCTCTTTTGAGTCACTGAAGGACAATTGATTCACCGTCATTTTTTACATCGATATCGGATTAAAAATTTCCTCTGCTAGCTCCCGAGCTAGAAAACCCTCCCCCCTTTCTTAAACTACCAGCCCAGTCTCTTGCACCACTCTATCAACACCGTCAGTCTATGCATTGGCCGTAAAAATTCTACTAATAAAGTTCAATCAGCTGGACATTTGGTTATGGCATCTGCTCTATCGAAGACTTTCACAGTTAGCCTGCATGAGGGCTTGGAAACGGTCCACCGCGCCGCGAGACGTGTTATCTGTAGTACTGATTTTTTGAAGGCTGCGAAGCTAAGCGCAGGTGATGTTATCGCAATTGCAGGCGGGTCCGATCTCACCCCAGTGAAGGTAAAGCATCCCTATACTTCCAATACGGCGCCTCATTTGACGTGTCCAAGCTCACCATAGCATCGGTAGGTGTTTGCTGTAGGGGTCGTGTGGCCCTCCATGGATCTGTCACAAGACAGTGGGTTAATTCTGAGTGAAGGGACACATGTCTTTGTTTTGCTCAGATGATGTTATCTAGCCATATCGGTCTCCTTTTCCCTACTGCTTACCGCCGGCCTTGAGGTCGGTGCCCAGGCCCGTATATATCCATTGGCAGGCCTGAGTTCATCAACCGCTACACCTGGCCTGCCATCACTTCGACAGATTCAGGAAGCTCGTATCATACGGCTCAAGGAGACTTCTCCGGATGGTACGAAACCATCTGGTTCCGCTTCTAAAACGCGCGAGAACAATCACCGGGACTGGCTCTCTCTTCTTATTAGAGAACTGATAGGTCGGTCACGATGTTGATGGTTAATTTCCCCAACGGCTCAAATTTATATTAGTGGATCTCAAATACCTGACTTCTAAGCAAGTGATTGAGGTGCGATATGAAGGTCAGCTGCGTCGGTTTAGCATCGCTTCTATCGCAAGCGACAAAAAAACGGACGCACCCCTTGAGGACGCCTTTACCACGCTATCTGTAACCCCTTCCCCAAATTTGTGGACGGCTTCGTGGGACACACAAGTCATCCTCCTAGAGAGCGATAAAGCGGAAAATGCAGCACCCGCGTTCGCACCTAAGGTATCTCACAGTCCGTCCCCAGGCATGCTCCACGCTGATGCCTGTGTGTCTCCAGCCAGAAGTCGAAGCTCTTGTCCACAGTTCGGCAACAGAAGCTTATGCCTCCGTTGGAGGCCTCAGTAAGCAGATTGCTCAAATTCGAGATCTCCTTGAAATCCCCCTCACCCGACCGGACCTTTTCCGCCATTTCGGTCAGTTGAATTTCTTCTTATCTCGACGTCAAATTGCAACGTGAGTCATTCTTACTTGTGATGCAGGCCTCAAACCTCCCCGCGGGATCCTCCTCCATGGTCCACCTGGGACCGGCAAAACTCACCTTGCGCGTGCGATAGCTTCTTCCACGAACTCATCGGTACTCGTTATCAACGGGCCTGAGCTCTCATCTGCTTACCATGGCGAAACCGAAGCGAGATTACGCGATGTGTTCAACGAGGCGAAAGAGAAAAGCCCTTGCATCGTGATTCTGGATGAAGTTGATGCGCTTGCTCCCAGGCGCGAAGAAGGAGCTGGTGGCGAAGTCGAGAAGCGTGTGGTAGCAACATTACTAACCATTCTGGACGGTGTGGAAGACGAGAGCGCCGAGGATCAGGGCAGAGTTGTCGTCATCGGCACGACCAATAGACCCAATGCCATCGACCCTGCCCTACGCAGGCCTGGCAGGTTCGACAGAGAAATAGAAGTCGGTGAGAAACATCCCCTTTATCATGCACTTCCTTATCGCGGAGGCAGAACTGAGCAGCTCTGGGTCGCAGGTATCCCTGATGCTGAAGACAGGCTCGCTATCATCGAGGTCCTGCTCCACCGCACCCCTCACTCGATAAGCCAGGACGAGCTCCGCGCCATTGCCTCGCGTGCCCATGGATATGTGGGTGCGGACCTCAGCGCCGTTGTCAGAGAAGCTGGCACAGTTGCTATCAAACGGTGGTTGGCATCGTCTATCAGCGCAGATGGCTCCACCTCCGGCCCAACGATGGAGCTGGCTGACCTCGTCGCAGCATTGCCGACTGTCCGCCCATCCGCAATGCGTTCCCTTTTCGTCGAATCGCCCCCCATAAGATACGCCGATATTGGAGGACAAGCGTCAGTCATACAAAAGCTGAAGGAGGCGGTCGAATGGCCGTTGGTTCACCCCGAAGCCTTCCAACGCCTTGGTGTGAAGCCACCAAAAGGTATCCTACTCTACGGTCCTCCTGGATGTAGTAAGACCGTTCTTGCCCGTGCTTGTGCTTGTGAGAGCGGTGTGAACTTCCTCGCAGTTAAGGGGCCAGAAGTACGTCTATCTAGCATCTATTCTCACTGCTGTGAAGCTTGACCGGCCGATAGCTGCTGAACAAATTTGTCGGCGAATCAGAACGCGCAGTACGCGAGATATTCCGCAAGGCCCGGGCAGCCTCGCCGTCCATCATCTTCTTTGTATGTCCTAATCTTAGACCACTGGTTCGCATCCTCAATAATATTTACAGGACGAGATAGACGCACTAGCATCATCTAGAGGGACTGGCGGAGACACGGCGTCATCGCATGAGGGCGTTCTTACCAGTCTACTCAATGAGATGGATGGCGTCCAGGAGTTGCTAGGAGTAACCATTATTGGTGCCACAAATAGGCCGGATGCCATCGTGAGTGCCCCCGTTGTGCCTCTGGCGCTGTACACGCCTGATCACACTCTCATAGGATTCTGCTCTGATGAGACCGGGGCGCTTAGATCGTATACTCTACGTTGGCCCTCCAGACCAGTCTGGTCGAGAGGAAATTCTGCGTATACACACCAGAAAAATGGCAATCGATCCTGACACCGATTTCGTCGAACTTGCGGCTTTGGTGCGCACTTCGCCTGTTCTGCTATCTTCACCGCTGATTTCACTGGGTAGACCGACGGATGCTCAGGAGCGGAGATCGCGTCATTATGCCAAGAAGCCGCGTTGCTTACCATGAAAAGTGATATCCATGCGCCTTTTGTACGTGAATCAGACAACAGGGCGCGGCACAACACTCATCCAAAGGACCTAGATTCCTCACGAGGCGTTGCGGACTGCAGCTACAACTATGAAGAGACAGATAACTGCGTCCATCACTCTCAAGTTCCAACAATGGACTTTGTCCAGCGGTCTAAAGCACGTATAGGACGACATCGTATATGTAGATATTATGGGTACAAATCAGTGCGATGAGGGCACATTAGATGTAGTGCCGCCCGCTTGCGACATCTCGTCTGACAGACTAAACATCCGGTCCTTCTCCTCGCTAGTAACGACCCGACTCAGGATTTCATCAACCCGTTCCAAGTTCATATGTGCTCCTGTCCGCCAACTAGATCGGGACTCGCCTTTAGACCTCGGTTCTCCGAGGGTAGCACTGCCAATGACAGCGTTTTGAAGGGTAGTCCACACTGGCGGCCCAGGGGTCAGCGCTGGATTGCGTATCGCAATCATGTGAACGAAGACGGTACGTGCGAGGGAGGTGTCCTGACGAACATACAAAGCGTATGTCATCAGGCTCAGATACGAAGCCTCATCGAGAGGAGGGAGTATTGGTGGTAAGTAAGGAAGTCTGAGTTCCGTAGGAGGACGCTGATGCGTAGGACTGGACGCAAAAGGTATATCAGTAATGGCGGATTCTTTGAACAACTTGCGTAAGGGTATTCCAGAGCGCCCGTCTTTGTTGGCAGCATCGTCAGAACGGTCATAGCTTACTTCGAGAGCGGGAAAGGTCGGAAGATCCTTTGGAAGGTCGTTGATAAGAGCCTCAAGCACTTCATCGGCATAGGTCAGTGCATCAACTTTCCGCGGAGGACCCCCTTCCTGTCGCACAACCCAGACAGGGTTCTTCTGGACACGAGAGTTGACGGGGCACGTGGAAACCGCTTCACTCAAGAGTGAGATATCAGCGAAAGGTATTTGGCGTTGGTGAAGGGTTGTTAGTAAGATGACATAGGCTTGAAGCGATGAATGCACGGCGTGTGTCGGTAGATACCTAAACGTCTTGATTCGTCCGAACATCTCCGTTACTGGCTTGAGAATCCTGCGAAGGAGGCCACTTGAGGGCGGGAGGGACGAGGCTGCGAGGATGGTGAGCAAAGTATATAGTTTCGTCTGCTTTGGCTGCGATGTGATCTGTGGCAGCGGCGAGACAGGAGTGCAGAATGCCTCTTCCAAGGCTCGTTGAACCTGCCAGTCTTTCGCAAGCATGTCAAATAAGAGGGCGGCCTCCACGTATTGCTCTTGCAGCATAAGCCCATCTATCACCCTCTCGTACATCCACATCTCCCTCTTCACCCCGTGCGTGCGTGCCAGTTGCAGGAGTGCCACGGCCTGACGGCAAAAGGTCTCCCTTATCCTGTCAGATGTGAAGGGACGCCCCACCACAGTTTCGTCCAGTCTCTGCGTTCCCGTGTTGCCTTCGTTGACCTTGTCGAGTTCCTTAACCGTGAACTTGGGCATTTTGCTGAGCAGCGCCGACGTAATCGCGTTAAACGTTCTGGTTCTCACTCGCACACCTCCCTCGATCATCCACTCCAATTTCCTCGCCGCGCGAACTGGCTTGTTGTCCCGAAGCAGCTGGTGCATAAAAACATGGGAAGGAAACCGCACCGAGGCGTTGCTCGGAGGAATCGTGACTACTTGCATACCGTCGTCAGGCAGCGGGCTATACCCTCTCGGCGCGCGGTCCAAGGTATGAAGAATTTCATCAACACTTTTGTAATGTCCTTTCTGGGCAAGAGCGCGAACTTGCTGCGCGATCGCACCACTTCGACGAGTCCTTTGAGATGAAGCCGGCAGCTGGACATGCTTCTTGGGGATGGCGAGCCCCGAGAATGCGAGCATTGTATCCAGCTGCTCCGTGCGTGCTGGGCCCTTCAGACGACGTCTAGTGTGTTTCTGTCTTCCAAGTGCGAAGCCATGGATCGCGGTGCCTACTTTAACTGTCGAGTCGGTAATCCGCTGCAAGCATTTCATATGCTGCAAATGCTGAATCAATATTATGATAACGAATGGAAGAATTCACCCTCCTGCTGCGATGCTCCGGATTTTTGTGTAATGAAGACTGGCAGTGGTGGTGAGGTGTTATGCCTTGTGGCAGGCGTCTAAACGAACAAACAGGGGCTGCGCTTCAAGGAATAATTAATAGGAGGCAAAAAACCTGGCATTTTGTATAGTGAGGAAACAAGAGCGATTGTTAATGTTGTTTGGATATGTAAGTGAAAAAGTAATGATGAGAGTCCGATTGGTATGCAATAAGAGATAGTCCAAATGACATAAATCATTATCCCATCAGAGACTCCTCCAACGGCGGGGATGCATACTTCTGATTCAAATCTTGCGGAGTGTTGAGTAGCAATGAGGAATGGTCGAATTGTTGGTTGACGATTTGAGCATCAAGGGATTGCTGCTCTGCCTCGGTATGCGAACCCCCGAGGTCAAAGCTATCGGAGTCGTCATCGGAATCATCAGAGTCAGGATCGCACTCATAGACTAGGAAACCTGAGTCGATTAGCTCCTCCTCCCAAAGATCGAGTTCCTCTGCTTCACGAACTTCATCCTGAGCTTGGATGCGCTCAGCCTGTCACAAGGGTGAGGATCAAGGATTTCGCAAGGAGAAATCGCTGCTTACGTTGTGAAGTTCTTGCACACAGGTGTTGATATCTTCACTGACGAGATTGCTCAAAACTGCCCATCGCCGCGGCCCTAGAGTCTCGATGACTAGTTCTACCTCCTTCCTCATGGCCGAAACCTCAGCCAAAGGTATGCACTCCCCAGAGAATTCGACCCAATCTTCATCAACGTCGCGGAAGTCCCACGCTGGGTGCAAGACCGCTTGGTGCACCGCCATGAAAAGGTGGTGGGGCGAGGACGACGCAAGGGGACATGCGCCTGCCTCGGTGATCCAATAGATGATGGCGAGAGAGGCGACCGCGGCTGAAAGGGGCGCGTGCGTGACACGCAGGAGTTTCTCTATGAACTCGCTTAACTGAATTGGTGGGGTGGAGAAGGCGGGCTGATCGAAGTAGAGTGGCGAAGCGCCGAGTAATTTCGTAGTGGTTTGAGCGCAATGCTCAGCGAATTGTGCGATGAGATCGCTGCGTGGGTACTAGGGAGTAATGGACATAGGTATTTTTGCTTGAGACTGAGGTCTTGGAAGGGGACTGACCTCGAAGGCAGAGCCCTTAGCGGCTAACTGTTGAGGAGCAGCTCCGAAAGTGCTGAGGCGTACTTGTGAAGCTGCCATGATGGCGATAGTCGATAGTCAATATGTGAGATGTAATGGTGGGTTGCTGAGTTGTTGTTTGAAGAGATCCACGAGAGTGCGAGGTTCTTATACTAATTCGTTACCCCCCTTCTCCCGCATCGCTCCATCCCACAGTGACGACAAATATTTTATTCTGTTTGTTTTCGTGGAGTCTTTGCAGTGATTCTTGCATCCGTCGACGTCGAGGGCGTCGGTGGTAAAATTCGCCGATGCGTACTTGTCTGCTTCTGTCTGTGTAAAAGAGATAGGGGGCCGACTCCTATCAAATTTTGTCGCATTTCCAGAGGCAAAATCATGACTTTTGGTCGACATTTGGTTTCGATAGTTTGCTTCCGTCTGACATAAGGAGCGGCTGTCGTCAGGTCAGCCTCGGGTTATTCGGCGAGGAAGGTGAGGGGGTCGGGGGAGAAAGCAGACCGAAGGGGCATCTGTGAGGTAAGACGTCAGCAGGAGTTGACACCGTAAAGCTCTGTGATTGTGCGGCTAAAAGGGGGGTACGTCGATGAACGATGGGTGGAACGAGCACCATCAGTGTTCAATTCGAAGGGATAGCTGACTTTTGGGGCAGACTCCATCCTACCCAGGGCCCCGCCAGAAATGCCCACCTAAACTTGCGCAGACTCTGAAGGCAGTGGATAGCATAGTAATACCGTTCATATGGTCAATGCATCGAGGTTAACGGGAGAAATAAATGGTGGTACTATCATACATGCTGAGATAGGCGGTGCTGCTGGCTCAGTAGGCCACAGCGGGACCTCGGGGTTGCCAGTAGAGACTGTCCGGTGTTTTCGTCCACGGCACAATCTTCATCACGAAGCCGAGGATCCCAGTCACATAGGCTAGATAAATAACTACACAACATATCAGCAAGAAACACAAGTTAGAATATTAAGACCATACATCGCTTCTGCTGGGGGAACTTGGACACCTCGTATCCGAGCTGGGGTATGCCCATAACGTTGCAAAATATGTGCGCCGTTATTGGGGGCCAGATGGAACCTGTCCGCAAGAACAGGTAGGAAGCGAACGACCCGAAGAGCGTCGTGTAGGATAGCTGGAACACTGGATGCGGCGTGGGTGAGTCATGTTTCCCTTGATAGGAAGAAATGTGCGTACGAGTCATGAGCAGTGCGCGTTTTGCGGCTGCGGGAGTACGCCCGTAGCGATTGAACGTGTCCCACGCGTGATGGGCATGCGCTGAAAGTAAGTAAGTCAGAGTACGATCGACATGGAGGTAAAGCAGCAGTCGTACCAACACCGAATGATAATGGTGCAAGCATTATCATCTTCGCCCTCGATGCACCCGATAGGTTGTACACCGCGAGCACGCACGCGCGAAACACGATCTCTTCCGTGATCGGGGCCTGCGTTCCATTCATTCCAGTGGCCGAACGCAGACGATTGGCTGCGCGTGACTCACAACGACGTAGTTCCTGGCGCCCTGCCAGGACAGTAGCACTTCTTTGAATGAGCCAGTCGTGGAGAGCGGCGAAGAGAAGTCCAGGTATAGAGCGTACAGAGGGCCGAGGAAGAGAAGCGGTGTGATCAAGTGCGGAAGGAGGGCGTCGAGTGTAAACGCCGGCAGCGAGAAACCTAAGCGAACGAGGGCGGTTCGTAGGGTAACCTCAATGGTCTCGTTCGCGTCAGCACCGACGCAAAACTGCATTATTGTAGATGTTCACCTCAGGGCCTATGGCTTGCCACAAAGCACCGAACACCATCGTGCAGCTGACCAGGCTGGCGAAGGTGACAGCAATTAAGCGAGCCCGTATGACATCTGGGTCATCCCTCCACCGTTCACTCTCGTGTCTTCGCCGCTCCTCACCGTCTCGCTGGGGAGGCACAACTTTGGCCACAAATGACAACCTGCCATGCTTGGAAACATATAGCGAGCCAACATAGATGAGGGCAAACGACGTAGTTAGTAAAAGGGACTCATAAGTCGTAAACGGCGGACTGGTGAAGACGAGGGGCATCAAGAAGGTGGAAGTTCGTGGTCAACGTTGTCGACGGCGTCTAAGATTTCGGCGTCACGATCACGTGATATGTGACTTGAACTTCAGAATCAAAGCGACTGCGACAAAACTGAGTCGACTCAAGACTAAGTTACTGTTCAAAAACAAGATGAAGGTAACCGTAGCACATAAGCAATCACAATTCAGGTAAATATTCCTTCTATATTCGGTGACAAAGGATCCATTCACTTGTACGCATGTTACAACATCGATATCCGCGAGACATGTTGATGCCTCTTGCCCATGGTACACAGCGCAAGTACGATGTTCGCGACTCCGCGAAGCCCTTCACTCATTTCCAAATTCCTACCGACATCTCCTTGTCGTCTTCATGTAGCGTCGGAGGGTCAACGCGTGCCGCCCTCAGCGACCGCCGTATCCTTTGCCATGACGTGACGGTCCTAATGGCCAATGGCCACGATGCCAGCAAGGTGCTGCTCGATAATGAAGCCGTTGATATGGCTTGTATTGAAAGAGGCAACGGGTTTCCGCAGCCTAGGAGAACAAGGAGACCCTTGCGTACCAAGAAATGACTACTCACCATATACGCAACTCGATAGGTTCAATCTTAATCCTCTAATCTTAACCGGATACATCAAGAAAACATATGACCACGTCGCCAAATATCGGCGTAAAGAGTGTAAATCCGTTCGCGATTGGCGGCCTGTACAGTAGATTGTGGCACTGTATGGGTTCGCAACGATCGTTGATCTTCGCGATGCGCTCTGAACGTTCTGTGGTGCTGAATACACGACATGAACGCGACCGACTGGGCTCGGCTGGGCTACGAGAGCCTAGTGACAGTGTTTGTCGGACCTGGGACTTGGCTGGAGGTTCCTGTAATTCCTTTATTTGGAAGTCCTCTTCCACGATCCGCCGGCTCGGCATCAGATATGGACTCACCTGGAAAGTGCTATATCCCAAGACAAAGCAGAAAGCGGGTTAATATTCTGTAGTTGGCGCTCCCGCCTTTCAATGCCCAGAAAAGATCGGCGCGTTCGATTGCGTTAGCATGAAAGATGGATCCATTAGAAAGTGCGACCTCGTAGTCGAGGATGATGTCAACAAGGCTCGAGGAATCGACTTACCGCCTAGCAGAAACCCACCAATCCCAACACTGGAGGCACGAGCGCCCATGGTATGTAGTCCATGGGGCTTCGGAAACGCGTAGATCTCTCCCCACGTCAACCGGGGGGCGACAGAGACCGTCTTTGCATCATCGTCGAACTCTATCCCTTTCAAGCCCTGTAAGTCGATGGTGAATCCGTGTGCACCGATATTCGATGAGCCTTCCCAGCTCATATTGCCGCCTGAACGAACGGCGAATTCGCATCCAGAAGTGGTCGCGAATCCCATGATAAGCGCGACATCTTTAGTAGTGGTAGGGGCTATACGACAAGCCGGGCGTTGTGCGGCCTGTTCCAGGGTGTAATAGGTAGATAATTGGGCGTCGTATTCGAGTGAACATGGGTATAAGACGGCCGAGGAAGTCAATATGGCTTCAAGAGCATTGCACTAGGGAATAGATAGGTTAAAGCATGGTCATTGAAGAGGATAGCTTGGACGATGGACGTACGCATTGCTGTGCAGCTCCTACATCAAAAGTCTGAGGGGCTGCTGGGAGGCGAACCTACCCATTGCAAATGTCAGCAGAGCAATAATGAAAGGCGCAACGTACATGATTTCTGGAGGGAGTCTGGTCGGCATGTCGTCGTTGCTTTGAAGTATTTTGCCATGAAGGCGAGGGAGTACGTTGTACATGACACTAGGGTAATATGTATGGTGACTATTGGAGCTTTACCTGCCCTCTTGTTTTTTTGCCGAGCTGATCGCATGTAGATTGCAAATTAAAGGATGGAATGTATTCTATATTCTGCATTTGCTGAGACCGATTGCCGTGGTCACAAAATGTGGGCGGATGCAAAAAACATATTACAAAAGCCCCGCCGACCGCTGGAACTTATTCGGCTTTTTCCGTTCCTCCTCCACTTCCCGACCTTGGCGGGGGGACCAGCCTGAGAGTCCCGAGCTTCCCGGCGCTTTTGATCATCGGCGAGCTCTAACATAATCGGGTTGTCAGTCCTCAAGCAGGCTTCAGGCCTACAGTACTCAGTACCCAAGCTGGCTAACCCTGAGCGTCCCATACTACTTCCGAGTTCACCGTCGACGGGTCCCAGGAGGTAGCCTGATGGCCGTTTCATGGAGTACCCTTTATATTTACCTACCTTGAATCATAGTGCTGGTATTTTGAGGTTTAGCCAAGTAGACCATTTGACGGCCGAGCTCTTTGTGACAGTATCCGTGCTTTACTCCTCTCGTCAAGGTCAACGCCGAGCGGATGGGCCACCACCGAGATTCATGTCGAATTATGTTTCAATATGCCCCGTCCCCCGAATTGCTTAGTACGCCTCCTTTCTAAGCCTCACCGTATCACAAAGATTAACTCTATGGCCGCGCGACCCAAGGACTGGGCACTGAATAAGGTGCGTTGGCGAGGATATTTGAAGTGAGTCCGCTTTCCTGGCAGCTGCGCATCCGATGTGCGCCAAATCCGGGTTGCTTCTTGAGCGGTGCCGCTGCTCGCCGTTGCGCCTACAACCGCTCTTGTCTCCATTCTCTCACCTGTGGCCAGTCGCCGAGGAAAAATCTACATCACTCATATATAGGCCATTGTTCGCGTTTCACCCCTCCGATTTCGTACCAATGCTCTCATTGCCCTCATTGGCAGAGCTCACGCCGGCGAGATTGTTGGCCTACAGTTTGGCAGCATTGACGGCCCATTCGTTCCTATCAAGAGTCCTCAAGTTCCTGCGGGCACAGTCAGTGTTCCCACATATTCCTGGGCCACCCTCTCAGTCGTGGATCACAGGTGACTTGCTTTGATATACCCTTCGCTTGACTATCCTAATGGCGAGTCCAAGGGAACTTGGGACAGCTATTCACTAACAAAGGCCTTCCGTTTCACCTCCTCCTCTCAGAACGCTATGGTGGCATAGCGAGGGTCTACGGATTCTTTGGGGTACGGTTTGCGTGCACCATACTCCTGTTCCCGGAGAGCACATCTAAGAGTGGTCTAGGATGAACAATTGTATATCTGCGACCCTCGTGCTTTGCACAGCATCCTTGTCAAGGATCAGGACGCTTTCGACGAGACGGCTGTGTTTATCGAGTGAGTTCAAAGTCTCGATGCTTCATTGCACGTCACGCCACGTCTGATCACACGCCCGCACATCCAAGGAACAACAGGATCATCTTCGGTCCAGGTTTGGTCGCTACCGTCGGTACGTACCCTTACCCATCATTGTATGCTGTTTTCCTCCTGACATGCGACGGACCGATGCAGGAGAACAGCATAAGAGGCAGCGTAAAGCCGTAAAGCCGGTGTTCTCTGTCATACAGCTCAAGAAGCTCACGCCCCTCTTCTACGAACTCGCCGAGAAAGTGCGTATGCATGCCATTAGAACGATAACTTTCGGCCATGAAACTGAGCTAATATTTCTTTAGTTGTGCGACGTGATTTCGAAGGAAGTTCGCGGGGAGGCGATCATGAACAGTGACGCCAACTCGAATGCTGACAGTGGGAGAGTTGACATGTCTGAATGGATGTCGCGGATTGCACTGGAGACAGTTGGACAGGCTGTATTGGGATATTCGTTCGACCCCCTGGATTCGCGGCAGAGTAACCCGTACACAGCAGCCGTCAAGGAGCTCATGTGAGTTGACAATAGCTTTTCGCTCCGTCTTCTCATATCGATTCAATACTGACGACGACACAGTCCAACACTATTCCGTCTTTCCATCGTTCGTCAATTTGTCCCTTGGCTCACGAGGATAGGCCCTCCTGCTTTCCGCCGTAAGCTTGTCGAGCTGGTCCCGCACGAAGCAGTACAGAAGGTGAAGAATTCGTCGGATGTGATGTATACGACGGCGAAGGGCATCCTTGAGTCAAAGCGTAAGAAGATCCCAGAACGGAGGTTGGAAACAGAGGGACCATCGAGACAGGATATAATCACGGAATTGCGTAAGTTAACACTCAATATTCCATTATTCGGGCATATTGCTGACGGGAGGTAGTCAAGAATAACGAGCGTCTTCCTGAGAGCGAGCAGTTGAGCGAAGAAGAACTCATTGGACAGATGACGTGCGCTCTTTTGTTTCCTCTGGCTGCGATGATGGATCTGATGGGATATTGCGCGAATGATAGTGTCTTGATATTTGGCGCCCAGGATACCACCTCCTCAGCACTCTCGCGCGTCCTCTACATGCTCTCCGTCCACCCTAACTGGCAAGACGACCTTCGAGGGGAAATCCTAGAAGCATTAGACACTTCGGATAGGGACGGGCGACTCCGTTACGAAGACGTCGTGAAGCTGCCGTTACTCGACGCGGTACTCAAAGAAACTCTGAGACTGTGGGTTTGCCTTGACTGGAGTATATACTTGGTTGAATGTTTCTCCTTCATAACAGGTTCCCGCCCGTTCCTTTCGTCCGCCGCACGTGCGTGTCATCCTTCTGGTGCATTACACAGACCCATCGTTGACGGTTTCTGTGTACTCAGTGCTATTCAGGAGAGGACAATTCCATTCACTACGCAAGCAGGGGATACGTCTTCTGTTACCATTCCCGTTGGTACAACGCTCTTTGTGGGTATCGCTGGTGCGAATAGGATGGAGTCCGTTTGGGGGGTGCGTCCACTTTTCATCACTGTTCAGGGTCTCAGCAACTCAACGATGTACGCCTTACGCCGGTCAATATGCGCATATTTAGGAAGACGCGAAAGAATGGAATCCGGAGCGGTGGGTGGGATCGAGGGGATCAGAGACGGCGCACTCGTCGAGTGCGAAGCTACCGGGTATATACGCTGGAACGTGAGTTCCTTCTCCTCGCGTTATTCCTCATGCTTGGTTTCGTTGTTGGCTCGAGGACTGAAGTACTGATATTTGTGGCTCATTTGCGCAGGCTGTCGTTCTTGGGCGGTTCGCGATCCTGCGTGTAGGTACCTCTCCTTGCCTCGTGTAGCTCAAGGTATTGATATTGAATGAATTCTTCAGCGGATACAAGTTCGCTGAGATAGAGATGAGTATGTCCTCTCAAACCCCTGCCTTCTTGACAGCTCTCGAGCCGCCGGAAAGCTAGGCTTACCAGTACTCATGGATATTGTTTGACAGAGATCATACTCGTGACACTGCTCTCCCGCTTCACCTTTGCAAAGACGGGGGATACGATTGTGTGGAATCTCTCGCAGATCATCTCACCATCTACTGCGACTCGGACTCTAGGAGACGGAGGTGTAGAGGAGGTGGAAGAGAAGAAGGGACTACCACTCCTTGTGCGTGCTTATGACAGTAAACGCGGTTTATGAAACCCATGAGAAACGGTGGCCCCAGCTTAGATTATAATTAGATTAATAATTGATAGTATTGCGTATGTACTTGCTCGCAACATCTTTGCTCCCAAGCATTGACGACAAAGGTAGTGGGGAGGTCAGTGGTGCTGGGGGCCGTCAAGATATTTGATTTACTGTGATGGTTATTATTGTCCTCCCCTAGGGTCTGAAGTTTCTTTATCCTGCATTACGTATAATGATAATGAGAATCTGTCGCAACCGATGCTTCCTACGAAAGTGACGGAGTACATTTTGACGAACTTCAGTTAGATCAGGATGAGGCTGCGAGGTTAACACCTGGCAGGAATCAGGCCTTTGACTGGCCATCTATGAGGTTTGTCGCTCATAGACGACTGCGCACGAGGCTAGGCAGGAATAGTCAGCCAGGGACTACTCCGATGAAGCCTCACCTAGGCACCGACAGAATCTCACCAGCCACCGCTCGTATATGGGATTGCTGCCAGGCGCTCGTCCTATGTTAGTGACTACGGCGCCATAAAATGACATGTTTCCAAGGTTAGTGCTATGATATATTCTGAGAGATGCGGATAATTATACATATGGATGTAGATGATGATAGTACATGCTAAAAAATCCCAAACGAACGGTAAGTACGGTCTCCGGTGTAACACAAGCCTAAGTACTTACTCCTCTGGCCTACTAAAACAAACTCGGTGCATTTGTTCGAGTTAAAAGATCATTTAGATTCCTTACAACCGTCCCTGCGCCTTCCTTCACTCGTTCCCGGTCGTCTTCCACGACCCTAACCAAGTACTTCGTCTCAAATCTGTCCGGATGCCACCGCCTGATGTATTCTTTGATACGATCCTTGTCTGACTTGGTCTTATCGGGATAATGAGGAGAGAGCACATAAGCGCTAACAGCAGCAGGGGTGATTTCTTCAGAGGAGACAGGCTTCTTCAGCATAGGCCAAGGGAAGGAGTCCCACGTCAGCTCTTCCAACGTCGTGAGTCGACTCCACTGAGTTTCATGAGTTTGGAAGAGCCTGTGTACTTCGTCCTTGGTAAGAATACGACCTTGCCTTGCCTGCCTTTCCATCTCTATCCGTTCCTGTTCCTTACGGAACGCCTCCTGCTGCTTTCGGGCTTGTTCTGCTTGGCGACGTGCCCATTCTGCCTCGGAGATCGGCGTTGATGGGCTAGCCGATGGGGTAGACGTGGAACGGGGCGTGCTAGGTGTCGGCTTAGGTGTACTGGTTGGCGCTGGCGCTGGTCGGGATCCGTTGGTATATGTGCTGCCGGCAGCCGCCGTACTACCCCAGGTGCTCCATGAAGCGGTGTTGCTTCGACTAGGAGTACTTGTGGAGGCACGGTCCGTAGGAGAAGAAGATGGAACATGGGGAGCCGTGTTGCTACGATGGGAGTGCGAGGAAGTCCAGGATGAAGATGTAGGTGAAGTGCCGGGGTATGATCCTGAACCTTCGCTATCGTGCCTCTTTCGCTCCTCTGCTCGTCGTCGAATATCCTCTTCCCTCCTGCGGAACTCCTCCTGCTGCTGTGCCCGTGATTTCTCCTCCTCTCTTCTCAGCCGCTCTTTCTCCTGCTCCAACCTCATCTTCTCCTCTTCCCGTCTGCGCGCCTCATCCTCTCGCCGCTTGACCTCAGCTTCCCGTCGTCTAAGGTCCTCCTCACGACGCTTAATCTCTTCCTCCTTCTTTCGAGTTTCCTCCTCCTTCCTCAGCATCTCTGCCACCTTCTTCCTGGCCTCCTCCTCCTTCAGCTTGATTTCTATCTCTTTCTTCCTGGCCTCCTCCTCCTTCAATCGAACTTCCTCCTCCTTCCTCCTCGCCTCTTGCTCCTTTCTCCTGACCTCTGCCTCTTTGCGCCTCGCTTCTGCCTGTGCCTCCTCTACCATCTTCTTTTCCCTCTCTCTCGCCTCGGCCTCTTCTCTCCGTCGTACCTCGGCTGCCCTGGCAGCAAGTTCACCCTCCTTGCGCTGGATTTCTACACGCCGTTGCTCTGCTTCTTCTTCTCGCCGACGCTCAGCTGCGGCCTCCTCCGCTATCTTCTGTCTCCGCTCTTCCTCTCTCGCAGCCTCGGCCTCGGCAATCATCCTCATCGTCTCAAGCCTGTCCAAATCCGCCTTCCGCGCCGCTTCTTCCCTCTCGAACTGCTCCCGCCGCGCTTCTTCTTCCCTCCTGAACTGTTCTCGCCTCGCTGCTTCCTGCTCCTCTAGTCTCAAGCGTTCCCTCTCAGCCGCTTTCCGCCTGGCTTCCGTCGCCGTGGCCTCCGCCCTCTGCTTGATCTCCGCAATTATCTCTCTCTGCTTTCTATCTTCATCCTCCGCTTTCTTCCTAGCTTCCTCTTCCTTGCGCCTCTGCCTTTCTTGACGCTTGGCTTCGAGCCTCTCGTCCTCCCGCTTCTTTGCCTCCCGCTTCGCCTCCTCATCCCTTTTAACTTGTTCCTCTAATCGCCTGGCTTCCTTGTACCTATCTACAGCAGGAGCACCACGATACGGGCGAAGATCCGCATCGCTACCACGATGTCGGGTAGGTTGCTCGGGAATAGGTTCCATATCCATGTCGTCGCTCATCTCTTCCTCGGCTGCTAATACCGGTAACTCCGGGCGGAAGCTCTGCAACGACGGACGACTACTGAGTGGGCGGCGCGCCTCTATTGGAGGGTGCCCATACTGTGTGAAGCTCCCGACGTCGCCTTTGGCATCGACGGACTGCGGTGAGTTGTTCCAATCCCTGGAATTAGGACTCGAGCGGGCGTAAGGGTCGTATTTGGAGCGGCCTGTGATGGGCACGGGATTACTTGCAGTCGTAGGATAGCCATATCCGTTGGGCGAGGCAGGAGGGGGGCGTGCAGAACTCTGAGCTGCGTAGCTAGCGGAGGCTGAGCGGGGAGCGGCGGAAGATTCGCTGACCGAAGCGCGCCGCAATGAGCCGGTATCATCAAGGAGGTCTCGAGTGTTACTAGATGGTTGGAAACGCACATCGTCGTTGATCGGAGAGTGCTTTAGGCCGCCGATGGATGGCGATGAGAGAGGTTGTCGGGCCTGTTCCATCGTGAGCGAGTACTCCCGTGAGGGCTTGCTGGACAACATCCCCGGCTGCGACCTGTCCTCGGGACGGCGCGAGGATAGGGAGGCGCGGCGGCCAGTCGCAGCGCTCACCAGCCTTGCATCCGTTTCATGATCGGCGAAGTATGACGGGTGCTCAGAAGTCCCTATCGAGGGCGTGCGACTATACGGCCGAGTTTCAGTTATAGCAGTAGTGAGATCTGGCGGTAGTCTAAAGTCAAATTCATCGGGAACGCTGGGCCGGGATGCTGAGCGATAAGCCTGATAGCGCTGATCGTTGGGGCGAGGTGAGTATTCAGCGGAATCTACCCAGGCCGAAGGAGGGGGAGGTACCCTAGCGCTGGGGTCAGAGAACCAAGTAGTGTACGCCCCCGTGTGTTGCATACTTTGCAATTCCAATTCCTCGACGGTTTGCGGAGGCCTAGTAAAATTGCGCGGCAGAGTATCTATGTATTTACGGCGTGAGTATATAGACGCGAAACGGTGGTAGGTGTTCTCACTTGTCGAACCTTGCCGGGCGTCAGGGCGCTCTTGCCTCTCCCTCTCCCGTGGCTTCTCCACCCAGGTTGGTTGCCGTTCCAGTGTCTTGGAGCGTTCCTTAGCTTCTCTATCCCGCTCCCGCTCCCGCTCCCGTTCTCGGTCCCGTTCCCGTTCCCGTTCCTTCTCCCTCTCCTTCTCCCGTTCCCTCTCCCTCTCACGCTCGCGATCTCCGTCAACCTCGACTTGTTCTCTGATGCGTTCTGGGATGGGGTTCGTGGCAGGCGCGCGATAGCTGGCTGAGCCCGAGTTGTTGGACTTCATACTTGCCGTGCTGCCCCTTCTATTCATCTGGTATGGCCGTGCGGAAGCGAGATCCTCTTCGGGAGAGATCGAAGGCTTCCAAAACTCGGGCACGCGCGGCGGCGAGCTTGCGTGTCGCTCGGACACAGACCGACCGAGGGGACGTTCGATGGGGCGCCCCAGCGGTTCTGGCGGCCGGTCAATGTCCTCTGTAGGGCGCTCCATATACGAAGACGCATCTGATCGTCGTTTCGGGCGCAGTATCACCTCCTCGGCCTCGTCGACCATCGTCGTGCCCGTCACGTAACCCGAGTCGCCAGAGCGCACAGACATCGTATCGCGGTCACGAAACGGCTCTTTCTGCTCGCGCGTGTCCCGCCGGGGTGCGTACTCGGAAAGAAGCGAGGTCGTAGGCCGCGTGTCTCTACGTGGAGGGGGATCAGGAATAGGGACGGGGGGACTGCGGACATCTGTATGGTAAGCCGCAGAGAAGGGGGCATTGGGCGACTGCGGGGACAACTGAATCGGCTGATCGTCGAGCCTGCCTGCCTGATCCTTCTGTATCGTATCCAGAATTGACTGCTGTTCCTGCTTGAGCGCCTCGTCCCATCCAGGGGTCAATGCAATCCCAGCAGCCCACCGTCGTTCCTGACGTTCGCGCTCTAGTTCAACCTGAAACTGCTCATGAGCCAGCTTTCTGATTTCAGCCATCGCTGCCTGATACTCCTGGTACAATTGCTCGCGCAGGAGATTGGACATGAGTCTCTCCTTGAGTTTGGAGTCGTAGTTGTTCTTTGCATCGAATACCATGTCCCGTAAACCTTCCTCTATTCTCTGCCGCATATTTCGTTTCCATTCGTCAGACGGCTCTACATCGGATTCTGGTACCGCAGCACGAGGCCTCCTGGGCTGAAGTAGTTCTGGTGAGGCAGCCTGGAACGATGAGTGCTGCGCGGCCAGAGTTGACATTGAAGAACGAGGCCAGCTTGACGAATCGGCCACCTTGCGAGGCCTCTTGGGTACGGCGGCGCGCACTGTAGTCTGGAACTCAAGAGGAGGAGGAGCGCTTGGAAAACGTGACCTCGGCAACGGCCGCAACGCGAGCTCACGTGTGCCAGACAGGGGTTTTCCAGTTTAAGCCCTCTCCTGCTTGCAAGATCACACAAGATCGTTCATGTCACTCATTGGATCTGTATTTGAGCGCAAACGCTCTGGTTCTGTCAAGCCAAATGCACCGTCAGTAGCTGGGAGAAAGACCGGGTTCCCCCCTGTTCAGCATCGTTCGAAAAGCGCCTTTGCCAGAGGACGAGACGACGCCCGAAAGGGTGATGCCACGACAAGTAGACAAGTTGCACCACCGCCGGTAATACAGAGGAATGCAGATGCAGAGGACTGGCGAGAGCAGATCAGCAGAGAGAACGAGACCCGAGTTGAGAATATGTCCGAGTCTGAGCGACAAGAGGAGATCAACGAGATCATGCAGAGATTTGGAAGTGGTGTCGGTGATATCCTGAGGAAGGCCAAAGAAGCTCGTCAGAAAAATACAAAAGACGAGTTAGATCCAGGTGAGTGCACTATCTCGATCATACGATTTCGCCACTGAGGCCTTTCGCAGTCCCTTTAACGTCTCCAACATTGGAAGAACGAAAGTCTCCGCTGAAAAGAGGTGCGGAACTTGTTCATTTCCTTCTCCCGCTATAAATTTCACGCCCGTAGTTGGCTCTCCGCCTCCTGCTCTATCTACCAGTTCAACTCGCCCAAGTAGTCGTGCTGAGAACCGAAAGCTTCGCTTTGCTGAACTGACTCCAGACGATGTCCATGTTTACGAGTCTGCACCCCCATCTCCTCGAAAGAAAGGTCCACTTCTACTCCTCCCCCCTCCAGACTCGTCCGAAAGCACAGAAGACAAACCAATATCACTCGGGACATGGACTCAATCACAGATCAAGAAATCAAATAACGAGCCAGAAGAAGGCACGCCAGAATACATTCGACGGCGTTACTTTCCTCAAGTGCCACCTAATGATCCGTCACTAGCGTGGATTGAAGAAGACCCCTCTTCCACCTCAACGCTGTCGCTTCGCTTCGATCTCACTGGCACACCTATTCCCGCTTCACAATCTTCATTGTTGCCGACCCATCTAGGACTCCATCACCATGCCGAGGGATCTCGAGCTGGATACACTCTTGACGATATCTTTCTCCTAACGCGGAGCACTGTCCCTGCTCAACGGACAGTGATGCTGGGCGTGCTCGCTGGCATTGCTCGATGGCTTGTCCGTCTCCTGAGGGACCAGTCAGCGTCCAATGGGCTCGATGTCACTGATATTCGTGGCAAGGAAGAGGAACTGAGGAGACGGATCCTTGCGGCAGGTATCAATGCACTAAACGAACGTGGTAGCCCTGCCGCACGAGCCGTCGACGTAATATGGGAGTGTCTGGTCGGCTGGGAGGCAAACCATACAGACAACCGTGTTGTTGAATGGGAACGTCGTCGATCGTCACGACTTCCCTCAAGCGAGGCTACCAAATCAGTGATTTCGACTCTGTCTCTTGACTTCCTGTTGCCGAAGATATCGGAAATCTTTGCGTTAGGCGCTCTTCCACAAGAATCTCTAATACAACTCCTAGGAATCGTTCATCGTTTAGGGAAGGAGAATAATTCCATCGCAGATTCTATAGTCACTACGCCGAAGCTACTTGCTAATGTCGTACAAAAATTCCTCCTTTCTCCATCTCCAACATCCACAAACGATACCGCTTCTGACGAAGATAGTGGGCCTCAGCCTCTCGCCTTGGAGCTTCTCATTACCCTTGCTTCTGCATCACGAACGAGTGCAACCTCCATCACTGAACTTGCTGACACGCTCCTACGATTTATCACGACACTCCCTTCAGCCTCTCCCTTCGGTTCTCAATTAGCCACGAGCCTTCTCTCCCTCACCATCCGCCTGTATAAAACCCTAGCTTCTTACGGTTTATACGCGAGCATTGCCACGACAGCTTACTCGCACTTTAATCTCCTACAGAGATACATTTTGTCATGCTCTGCAAATCAACCAGCCCAAAAGGATCGATTGAGTCTGTGCAGAGATTACTTAATGTTACTCGAAGGGTGGATAGTTTGTGCCACGGACCCGCACCGGACAACACCTGCGCATGAGATTCTGTGGAGTCAGGTTGTTGGGTGGGGTTGGAAGGACGATATCCTAGAGTTCAGGGACATCCTAGAAGCCGGGGAAGAAGAGTTTAGCGCATGGGCGGCATTGTGGAACGCACAAGCAGCTTGGGTTGAGGGATCGAAGGTCAATGCTGTTCGTGGGGGTACTGCAGAACGGGAAGATGCGATCGCGGCTCTGAAGGATGGGTTTAGCCAGGAGCTGGGAAAAGAGCGTCTTGTTATCTCGTTGGCTGCGAATAGAATGCGTGTCGCTCTGGCCGAATCCCCTGAGCCGAATGTCGTGTGGCTCGAGGAAATCTCGAATGCCTCGCTGGCGCTCTCAGCTGCACTGCGATTATGGGTAGCTTGCGCCCCCCCTCTATCCGAAGGCCCCATGGAAGAGCCTCATCTAATACTCCCATTCTCCCTGATTTCGGATGTATCTGCCAACTTGGTAAACCACGTACTATGGTCTTGGTCATCGTCCCTCGATATCATCAGCAAGCTCCCGCCCTACTTACTGGTATATTTCCGCCCGTTGACGGACTTCCTTCGCACGTATCTTCAAGTCTCTCGACGCCTTCCCGACGTTACCGATGACTTGTGGCTCGCCCAATCCTTCACCATTCTCGGGAGAATGATTCAAGGCGACGAAGAGTATGCATTGGAGGTTGTGAAGGACATTGCGTGTGCCATCAGCAGAGATTTCATGTCTGCCTTCGATGTCCCGACCGTGATATGGGAAAGGGGCGGACTCTCTATCCTTCAACCGTTCCTTTGCCACATGGTGCGCCCCAAAGGAGACGTCTACATTGGCCCCCTTCACCCTTCGATCCATTCGATATCCGCGTCAACTACACAAAGACTTGCGTCAGCGGCCACTGCCTTTTCGTGTAAATCAGAAACCACCGGCTTACCTCTCGATCGTGACTGGGCGATGTCGCCGTTGGATCACTTGCTACGTTCTGGGTCTTCTACAGTTTTTCAAAACCTCCCTCCGTCATGGGATGCTTCTGAGACAGAAGTTACGAGATCGACTTTGCTGCTGGCAATGGCGCAGCAGAATATCTTACCCCGGTACAAATTGGATTCTTTCACAATGAGCAGGGAGGAGGCGGTGTTCGGTTGCATGAAGGTGTTCATGTTGGAGCATGGGCAACTGCATAGCGACTCTTCTGACGAGGTCTTCAGGGATCGGGAAGTTGGGAAACTGATGGACAGTTTACTGAAACCATATACCTTATCTGCTTCCAATGGCCTACGAAAGGAGGGGGTCGAGACCGGCGATCTTGAGGAGGTCGCAGTACGTTTTCTGGGACCTGGAACACCGTTCTATCAGTATTACCAGGACTTCGTCGGTTTATATGACGCCATTTCCTTTTCTCATCCCACGTTCGCTCGACTTCTCCTCCCACCCACGTCGATGCGGTACCCCCTCGACTACCGGAAACATATATGGAGCGATTACTCCCACATCCTGAAGAACATCCGCCCTCCAGTCGGGGATATCATCAGTGGCAGCCTTCGTGAATACTTGTATCCTGTCGAACGAGACACTCAGTTGATTACCGCATACCTTCGAGCGCTGGTGAAGGGGGACCTTGAAAATGCATCATTCCTTAGGAAGGTCGCGGTGCACCATATTGCCTGCAATGTCTGGGACGATAGTGACGACAACAAGTCTGTGAAGCTATTGAAGGCGGTGGTCGTTCAGGGTGGGCCTATGGTCGTGAAGGCTGTCGTGCTGTATGATGTAGCAGAAGACGGTTCGACGCGGCCAATAAGCCAAGAAATTCGGGAGAAAAGGCTCGCCCGCCTCCAGCTTTTTGGTGATGGGTCCCTGGTAGAGCGACTGCGACCTCTTTTCGAGTCCTAGGTGATCATCGGTATCTTTCAGTCTGCTTTTTCTTCTGCTATATATAAACTGCCCTTAAAACCTACTACATATCACTCCTCGTATATATTGTAGCATAGAAGCCGTGTAATTAACTAGATTGAAACCTTAGGTCCCTGGGCAAGAACCCCTCTTTGCGGAAGAATAACCCCGGTACCCCTGATCCGCGTGACGGCCTTACACAGTAATCAGCTCCGACTGTAATCGTTCTCAGAGTCCACCATGACCCGTTATCAGTTGCTGCCCAACGACGTTGACGTCGAGCAGGCAGACGGAAACAAAGAGACCAGCTCCCCCCAATCTGCAAAAGCTTACTTCAAGGGACTTGCGTTCCGGCTACTCGCAATATTCACCATAACATACATGCTCGTGCGCGGTTTACTCAGCATACCGAAGCCGGCCTTCCTTCAACGAGGATGCCATGGCCGAAACACTAGTATGGTGGGCGGACTACCATCACACTTTGTACTTTCTACAGGAGCCAAGATACCTTCTGTTGCGCTTGGTGTTTGGCGTGCAGAGAAAGATCAAGTCGGTGAGGCTGTCAAGGTATGTGAACTCATAGCGCTGGCTCGAAATTGCATATAAGATGAGGTTTTAGGTCGCTTTAAAAGCAGGTTATAGACACATAGACGGGGCTTGGATTTACAGGGTGTGTGACATCTACTTACGTTACTGCTAGGTATCTCAAACCGCCTACAGAACGAGCAGGAAGTTGGACAGGCTCTCAAGGAAAGCGGTGTCCCGAGGGATCAGGTTTGGCTCACGTCCAAGGCAAGCGTCATCGCAGTGAGGAAGGAGTCGTCAGGGACTAAAGATAGATGCCGACCTAGCTTTGGAACACATTCCATGCTCCTGAGGACGTTGAACCAACTCTCGACGAATCCTTATCCTACTTGGGAACTGATTACCTCGACCTATATATTATCCATTGGTTGGTACTCGCTATCCACTCTATGAAGTCCCAATATCAATGCGTTTCCCAGGCCAGTTGCTTTTTACAAAGACGGCACCAAATATGATCGCGACTTGACCGCAGACCCTTATCCAACATGGCAGAAGCTGGAAGAAATGGTGGCCAAGGGTAAAGTGAAGAATATCGGCGTCAGCAAGTGAGTACCTCAGTTTAGTCTCTGGACCACAACAGATCTTGACGCTATTATCAGCTTCAATCTTCGCAGGTTTGTCTACTAATGCCACTTTGTGCAATTACCCACGATCCCTTTAGGATGCAAAACCTTACTGCGAACCCACTCAAAGTCAAGCCAGTCGTCAACCAGGTGAAGTGACTCTTGCGAGCGTACAAATAGTCCTTACCCCCTATTCTTAGGTCGAACTGAACTATTGGAACCCTCAGCCTGAGCTGCTCAAGGTATATAATAAGCGCTACTCACCACTGCCGCCATGGTCTTTCTGACATTCGCTCTCTTCTGAAGTGGTCCCAAGATAATGGAATCGTTCTCCAAGCTTACTCTCCTCTCGGAAGTTCCGAACAAGTCAAGGAGACTCTGTCTGTTCCAGTGGTAAGTTCTTGAACAGCCGTTTTGCCTTCACCGTCTTCATCGCTTTGCTAGATCAAAGACATCGCATCTGAGATGGGCATCACCCCCGCGCAAGTGATTATCTCCTGGCACATCCAAAGAGGGGTATGTTGGCCTAAATCGATGCATACTTGCGCCCTCACTAATGCGTCTCGTAGACCATCGTGTTACCCAAGAGCGTCCATCCATCGCGGGTCGAAGAAAATTTCAAAGGTACATCTTTCGATATCCTCGCCCCTATTTCTTAACGTTCACGATGATTTGTATGAAATAGTCGCCGCGCTGCCTAAAGAAGCGTTCGACCGTCTGGAGAATGCTGCAACGTCGCATCCTCCTCAGCGCGTATTTAATCCGAGTAAGAACTGGGGTTTAGATTTCGATGTCTTTGACGATACGCCTTTGTAACCACATGTCTCCAATAAGAAGAGAAATAGTGACCATACGGGATCAATGTGAGAGTAACGTCTAAGATAGTGCCCTCATGAAGGCGAAGACGCAAGAGTCTCCCCCCAGGCGTCGACGAATCCAGCACGAGAACGTGGTCCGTTGTCCAACTTCATGTTACGGAGACGAAAAGAGGAAAGCGGTGAAGGAGAAATACGACCCTGACTGCCTTTTGAAAAGGTGGCTGGATGTTGCAAACCCGGGTGGGGGGAGGAGGCGGCAGGGTGTGTGCCTGTTTAAGACGAGGGAGATATGAGTGCCTTCGATTGATGATTGATGAAGGAGGCTACCAACAAGTATCGTCAATTCAGCTGCGAACAGGGTCTTAGAGCGTCGATGAGCTGTCGTCCCGTGATGTGCTACACTTCTGTCGTAGATCGAGTCCGGCATGAGGCCAGGGATCGCAGTTGAACGCCAGAGATTGAGAGCCTCTCGCCATGCCTGACGCACGTCCATATTCATACCAAGACTGATATGTTCACTACACAATTGATGATAATCTATGATATCCCCGTAAGAAGCATCTTGACGAAATTACAAGCTCTTTTGCGCAGATTTAACTAGCAACCACAATGGGATAGCTGTGTGCGGTTGTTAGTGAGATACATTGTTCGCAACTAAAACTTACGGAGAGCAGTAAAAAATACAGCTGTTCTATATCGTTCGAGTGTAAATCTTTCGTCTGTTATTTAGCGGAGCAACTTGCTTACCGAGCCCATCCTTTCATAAATGCATTGTGGTTTATGTAGATGTGATTGTACAACAACCGCAAACCAATACTTTTGGATGTTAGCCTTGGGTTGACGTACTTACTACTGCAGCAAACTCACTATGCTACGGAACAGATATTGAGGGTACGATGGTCCAACCCGACTAGGTTGCCGGTGATCTAGAGTTGCGTTAGTGTCGATAGTTGGATGAAGGCAAAAACGCGCACTACGGCTGCTGCCCACAGCGGGAATGCTTCATTTCTGTTCTAATGCGGTTGAGTAAGTGTATTCAGGGTGTTTGAAACATCTTAGTATCTACCTGATGAGCCCCCTCCATTCGATGTATCTTGGCAACAACATTTGGCTTGAACTTGTCGTTATCTTTGGACCTCGCCAAGTTATCGCGTGGATTTGTACTGGCCAGTGTTCATGACTTTAGAAGGACATTTAAACGGGTAGGATGCGGTACGCACTTGTCGTACCCCACGGTCTTATCGATGACCAAAAACTACATAGCCATTTTAGTACACAATCACGAGGCAGATATCTGTACTAACCCTTAGAGTGTTTGGATAAAAGGCACAAAACCACGCAGCAGGGATAGAGTATAGGGATAGTCTGGGAGTCGCAAGGTCGAAAGGCATGGTAGTGGTATGTAGGGAGATTAGTTGGATTTCGGACTCTTTTATGTACTGGGCGTTACGAGATATGGGTGCGACATGAAAGGTCAGGCAGGGGAATGGTGGGAGAGTATCGGCAAAGTAGTACGGGTATTATGAACCCGCCCAACGATGGGAATTAATAGCCAGGTCAAATACGCGGCCTCTTGACATCCTCAGAGACGTTGTTCCCAGGTGCAACCAGCGGGCAAGGAGCTACAGGGACTACAGAGGTGCAAAAACGGGTTCGTCGTACCGAGTAAACACGAGTATCGACATGCCACGCCAGTGATAAATTTTTCTTATTCAAGATACTAGCAGAAGGGTAGAATGTTGACGGAGGGAAACAAAGGTCTCTTCAAAAATCAACGATGAGATGCTCACGTTCAGTAGCCAATTTTCGCAAACGGTGGCGTCCTTGATCACAGTTGTTGAGATTAGATTTATAGATAAGATAAGCGTGTTGAGCTTCCGTTCTTGCCACTGCTGTCTTCAATCTGGACATCAACTGTACTACGGCGGTTTCGCGACTCGTATCCTTTGTCGTCCTATCGTAAAGAAACTGCGGTGTCCGCTGTCCATCCCCCGCTGAACTTCGTTTTCTCTTGATGATTTGACTTGTCAGATGAGTTTCGGAAACCTCGCATGTTCACCGAACGTTCATTTGTTCAACAACAGTCCATGTACAATACCCTAAGGACTCTCCTGACCATCGAATAAAAATGTACCTGCCATCCAAACCCTAGTAGTATACATTAAAATGTCCTACCCCCCGTTCGTAGCCCTCCTGCTCAACCACTCTTGCTCGGGCATATCATCTGCATGCGGACGCTCCAACTTGGCACATTCATCCACGACGTACTCAGAAGAAATCACATTCGCTATCGTCCCCATGAGCGCCGTGCACGTCAGCGGGCATCCAGTCCAGGTCTTCAGGGAGCCGGAGATGTTGCTCGCGACCTCGGCGCGCGTGATGGTGCGGTTAAGGGGCATTGGGCGGTGTAGGTTGAGATGTAGCTATCATACCTGATATGGCGGGAGGACACATGTATGAATGAGACGCGGGCGACGTGGAGGCAGCGATGGACTCACTGGATAATACCCAAAAGCAACCCCTCTCACTTCGCCTTGATGATGGAGAAGGACAGCAAGAAGTCACCATCCTCATGCCAAATTCACCATGCCGCCACTCCCAACGAGGCCTCAAGATGGTCGGCCACCCCATACAGAACGATGGGATACGAGAACAGTGTTGAGGAATTCGGCCGCGCGTCCGTTTCTCCATCGAACCAAGACGTTGAAGGCTCTCTGCCCCCCCCTCTCTCTCTCATTGTTCCCGAGGCGAGGCAAGTTCCGAAAAATGAGAAAGAGCCAGGGCGCTGGCACTGCGGCACACGGAACGGCCCGATTTTGTCTTGCTGATTTCAAGGTCCGGTCACTACTGCCCCTTCATTTACCGCTTGGTTCGCGATTGATCATCCAATGAAACTTCACCTGACCTACTCTACGATCCTTCGAATACGCACCATTGCCGTACTTGACGCTACTCGATTTGTCGTGGCTTTCTCTTTCTCAATGTCGTGGGTTCTCTAGCATTCAACGTCCCTAGGCCGCGGTACATCTCCCAAGCCGTGCCCTCCGGCTCTAGTCTACGGATACGGATACGGAGTGGATACCGCGAGTGTTTGGCGTACTTGAACGATGTGTATTCTGGGACTGACGGCGCTTTTAACTGTTGGCAGACGGTTCTTCCGCCATCTCGGACATACCTACGAACAGCAGGGTAGCGGGCCTCATTTGGACGTCACCTGCGAATCCCGCCGCTTCATCGCATCGCATAGCCGCGCCCAGCTTTAACTCCACGCACGCCGAGTTTGGCCTCAACCAGCAAATGAAGCGTCCATCTCCATTCTAAGTACACTAAATCTGGGGCGATTTCGTCGATCGTATCAAATATCGCGCCGGTGGATTCGTCATACCAACACTTCCCCCCCCACTTTCGACGACGGTCTCGCGCGCAGTTGATAATCCTTGTCGTTGCTTCTTCGAGGCTACTGCTGCATCCAGTTCAAGCTCCGTTTCATTGTCCCCACGACGGCATGGTCTGGGCTTCTCAACAACATCCCTCACCCATTTCCCACTGGGCGCCTCTAGACGTGGGGGGCAGCGACGTCCCTGCTACTCGATCCTTTTCTTTCTCCTCGCGCCGCCTCAATGCGTGTCTGCATGCCCCAGCACCACATGTCTGACCTCCCACTTGCGGGCATGCGCAGAGCGCTGTGCGCTCAGCGCAGCGACCGACTTCTCTCTGGCGTTCCCTGTTGGCCGAGCCCACACCGACTTCCGCAATGGTGAACACATCCTATTCCCCCCCACACGTAGACGTGGAGGTGTAGAGGAGCTGTCCTAACTATTTGCTGCTATACAAAGTGGAAAACGCGTGATAGAGAGGTAACACGAGGAACTAGATAACGGATCGAACTACTGGGAGAATTCAAGAAGACTGGCCGCCTGAGGTATGCGTATATTCTAACACCCTCGCAGCTGTTTATTCGTCTGTCCTGAAGGAGGATTGAGGCGTATGACTCTGCATTCGTATTTCAATATGGCCTAGGACGGGGCGATCGCTGCTGTACCCAGCGACCGACTCCTCCCTGTGATTCTGCTTGTTCTTGCAGGAGTGGGGTATCCCTACGAGGCAGGGACCAGGCCGAACGAGGCGAACGAGAACCAACAGGGCTCGATATGCGAACTGGGTAGCAAATTAATTAGCCATGAGCTCAGTCTGTAGGGTGATTATGAAATACACACAGATGTTGACATTGTTCCTTCCACGACATTTCCGCCGTAGATAGCACCGTGATACCTATCACCAGAGATGAAGTTGATGTTAAGGCTGACACCATGGAGACCAGGGAGATTGACGAGGACATTGCGATGCACGTTTTTTATTGTTATCGAATTACCCTGCGCGACGGAGTTTGTGGAGGTAAGACCGTGAATCCCAGTTGCTTCTACTGTGAAGCTGAGAGGGTCCGTATCGTTGTGAGAGGTGCGATCATGGTCAGGGCAATCGTGCGGCGCGGACGACGGGAAATTGAAGTGGATGTTGTTGAGAGAGCGGAATGGGCTCGAGCATGATGGAAAGTTTGCGGGGTTGGTGCTTCCACAGTCAATGCCGACAATGGCATAGAGGCTCGTGGTAGAGAGGTGTAGTGTGAGGTAGCATGGGCGATCGTGGCGCCGATTGGAACCTCGACGACGTACCAACTGCGTCTCGGGTTGAGGATATTCGTCGATGAACTGAGACAGAGGAATACCACGCCGAGCAGCGTTCCTCTGTGCTACATCGCAAATGAGCCCATCATAGCCTCAGATCGATCATCGTGAAGCGCCGCCGATCCGAATGCTTCGCTCGAGCGAAAGGTCTAAAGCTTCGGCGGTGCCACGATGAGGTATTGTGAGGTCAGTGGACTGCAAATGATACTGGTTCATGGGAGCATGCGGCGACCCACGCAAATGGTTGAGTCGAAAAGATACATGGACAGCATTGGCGGGAGTGGTGTCGTTGAGTGGCAACGACATGCCGACGCGGAGCGACGGAGGAGCTGCGGGAATTTCTATCGCTGAATCGAGAAGACGGCCAACGAGCCATGCAAACGATTGGATATTGAGGTGATGAGACGCTCGTAGCGCCATGTGCAACCTTCAGGTGTCAGCGAGGCAGGACGGATCATCCGCCGCTCTACGACGATGACACGACTGAGACATTGGCCGGAATACAATGAGAATATATACCCACAAAGCTGTGAGTTCGTGGTGGTTCGTTTTATGAAGAGATGATGAGATGTCCTGCTCCGGGCCGGCGATATCCAAAGCTACGGACTCGTCCATCTACTTGCCTCGGTCCTCGACAGAGACGACGCGAACGATGGAATCGAGACTTAGCCGCGTACGTTCTAGCTCGCAATCCCAGCGCTGTGGTCGGTGAGTTGGTCATAATCGGCGCTTTTGCGACTGGCCGACACGCTTTAGTAGCCTGCGCCTCCATCAAAGATCGTAGCAAAGTCGGAAGGACGTATCAGGTCTATCCACCCCTCTACCTACGGGCCCCAGCTCAACGCTGCAGCTGCCTGGTCCTCTATCCGCAGCGGCATCAGGCTATCATCGCAGCCGACGTCCACGTTGCGTGCTGCGTTAACGGTCTGACCACATCTCAAGGAAAGGCTGAATGTACCTATCGATCATCCACGTCCTACCCTCAAGATCTCGTCACAGGCATCTAACGTGTCGCTCTCTTCCCCAATATTCGCATCGTCAGCTGCGCCTTACAGCATACCGACGTGGCTCTGATTCATGAAGAGGGGATCGTAAGGAGACAGAGGGCATTGGCAGTGCTGGTGCTATTGAGGCTTCGCAACTCGCCGTAAAAGCTCGTGGGAGGTGCTTGAGAGTGCCAGGATCCTTCGAGCTCTGGTGGGACAGCACGTATGCCAAGACTCGTCAACAACGAGTAACGAGAAAACGGAGGGCCGGGCCGGTGACAACCGGTGCCCTCACCACCCACGGCTCTACCTCGCTTTCTGTCATCCCCGTCCCGTCGACGCGTTGCGTAGAACTTGAAGGTTGCCCTGCCAACATCTTCACCAAATGCGTAGGCTGCATTGCTCCCCGCTCCAGCACTCCAGCACACAAGTACTCGGAACTTCGGAATTAGGAAACCTGCAGCTGAGCCTGCTGAGCCTGCTGAGCCTGCGAGCGACAACATGAATGCCCGATGCGATCTGAGTGCGTGTACGGGGGCGCTGTCTCCACAGTCTGCGGGTCGAGCGTAGCGACATAGTTTATCATCAAGACGTTGACTTGGGACACTTGAATTGTCTGCATCGTCGGTGAATGGGTGAATCGAGAGGTAGACGATGAGGGCGGGAGACCGGAAGAGGGAAAAGAATACTGGGGTGGTTCGGGGAACGAACTATTTTTTGCTCTGATTTCAAGCTCCGGTCTCCATCGGTCGTACATCCTGGATTCATTCACCCAGTATCCCCGTCTCCTAACCGCGCTTTCCCGCCACCATACACTAGATTTCAGATTATCGACACTTTAGCTTCATTGTGTTACGCACTATTCCGTTCACTGTTCTCTCGCCCTTCCTCCGCTTCTTCCTAACTCGTTCTCACAGCTTTTCTTTTTTTCTCCATGTCTTTGTTCTGTCTCTCCTACTCATCAAATAAATCTTGTAGTCGTCTACCGCCAGAAAATCCACCCTAAACCTTTGTCATCCGTCATCGTCACTTTGCGGCTCCTTCTCAGCCTCAAATTACCCTTCAATAAATATGCCTTCGGGTCGTGCGGAGCGCACGAATGTCTAAGTCAGCTTCCCCTTCATCCACGAGCATACGAGGCCCTCAACGTATCCATGAGTGGTCCTACATACTGCTAGCATACGAGTGGCTGTAGGGCCACAATTTCGCTCCCCTCCGTAGAAATGGCTGGTAACGCTTGAGTCAGATGCCTGGCCCTTATAAGTTCACGGCGGGAGCTCGTGCTGCATATGGATCACCACGTGGCACTCACGTCTCGTCACTTTACGCAGGTATCGCAGCAACAGTGTTGTCGCTTCTCAGAAAGGACGGCAATACATGTGGATGACAAACGGTAGATTGATGCTACATGGACAATTTAGAGATGTTTATGTACTTAGTAAAGGTGTCCTGCACTTTTTTGATATCTTTCCAACGAGGACCTACGGCAATATCCTGTATGTCAAGAAAAATGGGTTTTCGGGTCGATATCACCATCAAGCACGTGTAGAGCATTATAATGTAGTTTCTGAGCACGGGAGGAATCCACAGGATGCGGGCATCTGGGGAGCCTTGATTGCCCGCATGATAAATCCATTCTCCACGGCGAAAAAATAGACGAGGCCGGGGACATCTGGGTTTGTACAAGGCATCATTGGCGCGCATGTGATTTCCATGTCCTTTTGCTGTGTTGCTGGAGGCCGTAGCAGAGGAGGCCGCTGCGTCCTGCAGTTGCTGCCCTGTTGCAGCATCCCAGATCCGGATCGTCTTGTCTTCTGACCCTGACACAATCTGTGCCCCGTCAGGCGAGAATGCGACGGAAGTGACCTCGCCTTCATGCCCAGTGAGTGCATCACCGACTTGCTGCCCTGTTGCAGCATCCCAGATGCGGATCGTCACGTCGGATGACCCTGACACGATTTTCGTCCCGTCAGGCGAGAATGCGACGGAAGTGACCTCGCCTTCATGCCCAGTGAGCGCATCACCAACTTGCTGCCCTGTTGCAGCATCCCAGATGCGGATCGTCTTGTCATCTGACCCTGACACAATCTGTGCCCCGTCAGGGGAGAACGCGACGGAAGTGACACAATCTTCATGCCCGGTGAGCGCATCGCCGACTTGCTGCCCTGTGGCAGCATCCCAGATGCGGATCGTCGCGTCGTATGACCCTGACACAATCTGTGCCCCGTCAGGCGAGAATGCGACGGAAGTGACCCAACGTTCATGCCCAGTGAGGGCATCACCAACTTGCTGCCCTGTAGCAGCATCCCAGATGCGGATCGTGTTGTCATCTGACCCTGACACGATCTGTGCCCCGTCAGGCGAGAATGCGACGGAAGTGACCAAGTCTTCATGCCCGGTGAGCGCATCGCCGACTTGGTGCCCTGTTGCAGCATCCCAAATGCAGATCGTCTTGTCGAGTGACCCTGACACGATCTGTGCCCCGTCAGGCGAGAACGCGACGGAAGTGACCTGGTGTTCATGCCCAGTGAGCGCATCGCCGACTTGCTGCCCTGTTGCAGCATCCCAAATGCAGATCGTCTTGTCATCTGACCCTGACAAGATTTTCGTCCCGTCAGGCGAGAACACGATGGAAGTGACCCAGTCTTCATGCCCAGTGGGCGCATCACCAACTTGGTGCCCTGTAGCAGCATCCCAGATGCGGATCGTCCTGTCATCTGACCCTGACACGATCTGTGCCCCGTCAGGCGAGAACGCGACGGAAGTGACCAAGGCTTCATGCCCAGTGAGCGCATCGCCGACTTGCTGCCCTGTTGCAGCATCCCAGATGCGGATCGTCCTGTCATCTGACCCTGACACGATTTTCGTCCCGTCAGGCGAGAACGCAATGGAAGTGACCCAGTCTTCATGCCCAGTGAGCGCATCGCCGACTTGCTCCCCTGTGGCAGCATCCCAAATGCGGATCGTGTTGTCTTGTGACCCTGACACGATTCTGGTCCCGTCAGGCGAGAATGCGACGGAAGTGACGTCGCCTTCATGCCCGTTGAGCGCATCGCCGACTTGGTGCCCTGTTGCAGCATCCCAGATGCGGATCGTCTTGTCATCTGACCCTGACACGATCTGTGCCCCGTCAGGCGAGAACGCGACGGAAGTGACCAAGGCTTCATGCCCAGTGAGCGCATCGCCGACTTGCTGCCCTGTGGCAGCATCCCAGATGCGGATCGTCTTGTCGGATGACGCTGACACGATCTGTGCCCCGTCAGGCGAGAATGCGACGGAAGTGACCAAGTCTTCATGCCCGGTGAACGCATCGCCGACTTGGTGCCCTGTTGCAGCATCCCAAATGCAGATCGTCTTGTCGAGTGACCCTGACACAATCTGTGCCCCGTCAGGTGAGAACGCGACGGAATTGACCTGGTGTTCATGCCCAGTGAGTGCATCACCAACTTGCTGCCCTGTTGCAGCATCCCAAGTGCGGATCGTGTTGTCTTGTGACCCTGACACAATTTTCGTCCCGTCAGGCGAGAACGCGGCGGAAGTGACATGGTCTTGTGCATGAATCACTAGGGCTTCTGTAGTAGGCCATAATTTTTCATGGCCGTTGGTTACAGTTATGGGGATGCAAAATTGGCCTTCGTAAAGTTGCCTGACTTTCGATGCTTCAGGCGAGAAAGTAAGTCCTGAGTAATACAACTGTGGTGCAGAGAGCATGTAGCCATTGCGAAAGCGCTTCTCAAATTTGATGAAGTCCGCTAGGATTGAGACGAGCTCTCCAGGCGAGTGTAACTATTGATGATTAGTCAACAATGAACAGTGACGATGGAATACATCACACTCACTGATGCCCACTTCTGGAAGCACGGCAGCATCCCACCTGGCCCATCTTGCCAGCTTTCCATGCAACTATGGATCTCGAGCCAATACAGGAAACGCTTCTTGAGAAAAAATGAAAGAGCTATTCTCAGGTGATTAAGTTCTTCAGCCCGCGATTTCTGGGTATCGGTGGGCGTGACCTGCTCATCAAGCTTGCCGAGGGACTTGTCCAGGTGATACGCAGCACATCGACACGCATACTTCAGCTCAGGATCAAGCTTCTTGGCTCGCTCCTGAAAACCGTCGATTTCGCTGTTCAATGCATACGATGTGTCAAAACCGCACATGTTGAATCTGAGCTGGGCATTAGTGATGTCGAGACATGCCAGAGCCAGCAGTTCTTGATGGCGCGGCCCGATATCGACTGAGAAGTCAGGTCCTTTAGGCACCTTGACTGGCTCGACAAGGAAGTCGCGGAAAGAGGTATGAAGGGGTAAAACGGCCATTTCATTGGCGTCAAAGGTGCTTCCACTAAGCAGAGAGCCGAGCAAGGGAAGGATTGACTCCAAGGCTGACCGCTCTTCGCCTGACTGCAAGGCAGACCACTGCCCACATGGCTCC